CTCAACCGGGATGTTTACCCTATGTTCCGCTCAAGTGTTGTTTTGTGCATAGGAGGCAAAGTCCTGGTCTCGGTCCCCGACATTTCTCATAAGCAAAAAGGAGAATTCAATGGATAAATGAGCAGGAGTAGAGAGAGGAAGTGCTAAGTGCTCAGGGCAGAAGGCAGAGATTTGAGAATTGTGTGTTGTTCTTGATTTTGAAACTAAATAATCATGTGACTGTGGGTTAACCTGTTCCCTAAACTGAAACATTATATAACTTTACAAATGCTTGCTTTGTTTAAAATGGAGTAATTTGTAAGCATTCTTACACCTTTCCAGAAAAGTATAAAGCACAATGAAGACATAAATATTTTAGCTGATGATATGAAAGGCTGTGACTAATAAAGGGTTTCAATTGTAGTAGAGGTTTTCTGCTTTATGCTTCTACTCAAAGAATGGTCCTGTCACAGTTCATTCAGAAGGGTGTGTAGGTAAGGGAGGAAGTCACAGGAGTTTAGGGGAGGGTTGGAAGAGGCAAGGCGTGACAAAGGCCTCCTAAAAAGGGATGCCTCATGATGATTGGTGTAAGGTTAAGTAGTGTGCTGGGGGAACATTTCAGTTGAGAGAACAGCCTATGCAAAAAAAAAAAAAAAAAAAAAGAAGCCAGAATTGAGAGCAATAGCATCAGGGTTAGATTATAGGATGTGGAGTGGAGGGTGAATGGTATGCTAGTATATCAGATTTGTGTTGGCCTTGTAGGGTAGTGGAACACATGTGGGCTAGAGATCATGAGGGTGATGTGAGGGAGAATTCAGGAGTAGGGCTCACACTTTTATTCAGACCACTGAGGACTTTTATGTTGGAGAAATCAGATTTAGAATCAGTGCTTTTGTATGACTGTGGAGTTGGGAGATAAATTGATGGGGAATAGCTCTGGAGTTACGAATAACTAAGGAGGCCAGTTGCAGCATCTGATGCTACAGATGAGGTAACCTAAACTGGGGCAGCATCAGGGATAATCAAGAGTAAGATGATTAACCAGGGCACTCCGTGGTGTGCAGCTGGTTAAAGCAAAGCACAGCACTGCAAGCAGCAGCCATTTCAGTGCAAGGACATTTTTAATATTAATATACACATGTGAAAGAGTTATTTTTTTCACTTATGGCATTTATAGTATTTAAATTTCCCCCCCCCTGCTGCACCACCAGGGAGGTCCCTTTCCAAATAAATTTTAAGTCTTTAAAAAAATTAACTGAGTTAAACAATTAAGTAACTGTCAGTACATACTGATAAAGGTGTTATGATTGTAGCAGAAAAATGCCTCAAGCTGGGGAAGCACTTGGCTGGCTGAAGACCTGCCACTGTCTGCTTAGGCTTTGACCCTTGCAGGTAAGAATCTGGAATAAATTCCATGTGGACTCTTACATCCCTCTGCTATTATCACTAGAATTGTGTTGGGTCTATTTCTGAGTAGTTTGAGGTAGGTTAGGAACATCTGGAGAGATGAATCAACTGTATGCAAATTCTGTTAGCTTTTCAACTTTTTGAAAAAGTCAGTCAAAGGATGGAAGCAAATGTTGATAATGTACTAATTTTCTTTCAATAAACCAAAATATAAATGGAGATTTTTTTCCAAGAAGTTATAAATTACTAAAAGAAAAATGAAGGCATTATTAAAAAGCCTGGAATAGGCCCTCCCTGGTTAAAGCACAGCACTAAGAAGTTAAAGCCATGGGCAGACCTCTCCTGACCCACCCAATGCTCCCCTCAGCAGTATTCTTCGCCAGTTCTGCCTGTTCTGCTCCCCACTCTGTCTCTTGTGAATCCTCTCACTGCCCCTGCACCTCTGGCCTGTACTCCAGTTCTGTATGCATAAATAAATCAATCTTTTTTTTAAAAAGCCTGAATAAAATGATCATTTGAAAAATGCTAGTCAAAATGTCTTGCTAAAAAGTTTTCAGGTCAATTTTCCTGGAGGTCTATCAAAGGTTCATTGAATAGATATTGTAACTGTTATTTAGGACACAGAAAACAAATTGAATACTTTCTAAAGTATTTTGTCAGTACAGTTTTATAGATACCAAAATTAGTTAAGTGAAATCCTAGTGAAATTACCTAGTGAAATCCAACAATGAATTAAGATAATTCATTATATAAACAATGAATTAAGATAATACATTATATATATGTATAATACATTATAATAAAACAGGATGTAATGATAAGAATTCATATAATGTTGATTAGTTTGAAAGTCTAAGTTGATTAGTCTGAAAGTAATTTAGCATTTAATTAGATTAACTAAGAACAAGAAACTAGACAAGTAGTGTTTTTAATTTTAATGCAAGCTATGATAACATTTCATAGAAATGCTTCTAATTTTTATTATAAAATAAAAAGAATAATTGCCACTATCATGACATTCCTGGCAGGCCTAACCAATCAATAGTAAAATAATAAAGATTAAGAGGCATACATATTGGTAAAGGGAAAAAAGGCTGTGAGTATCATGACTACTATTTAAAAGGTAAACAACTGAAAAGCTGTTTTAAGACCTATTAAAGAAACTACTATAAAGTTTAACAGGTGACTGGATATAAGACAAAAAAGCATTGTTACATACAGACAATATTCCTATTAGAAAATTTAATGAAAAGATCTTATTCGACATTAAACAAAAAGTGCAAAATACCAAGCAATAAACTCAGTAAAAAGTATGTAATATTAGTAAGATGAAGTTTCACTGAAAGGCATAAAAGTTCAGAATGGGAGACACATCAAGTCTTTGGATAGACTCACTGATGTAAATAGATTACTCTCCTTAAACTGCAAGTTTAAAATTCCAAGACAGTTTGTAAAATACAACTTGATAAACTCAAGCTCATCTAAAAAAAAAAAGATGCTTAGTAAGGGTCAAGAAACTTGAGAGACTATCCTGAGGGAACATGAAGCTATCAACACATATAGTGGAAACTACAGTAATTAAAAAGCAGGGCACAGGAATGGACAAGAAATTAGTGGAACAAAAAAATTCCAGAAACAGTTATATATACAAACACAAAGATGAGATTTCAAATCAATGGAGAAGTTATTTTTTAAAAATAGGAAATGATAGAGCAATTAGTTTGTCATTCAATGAAAAAAATTAATGCTTAACATACATTTGAGTAGCAAGTGTATGAAAAATCACTCATATTTCACTAGTAAACAAGACATGAAATTAAAAATAATTTTTTTTCAGCAGACAGTTTTTGAAGTGAAGAAATAGTTGGGGGGGAGGGGTATACTTGACATAAGCCAAAAAAAAGCATGACTTTTGACCTAAAAATTTCACTTCTTGGAATCTACCCTATTTATTACATTGCAGTACTAATTACAATTGCATAAATTGGGAGTAATTTAATGTTTATCATTAAGTAATGTTAAAGAAATTCTTGTACAGTTGTATGATGTTTTAAGTGTTATGTGTATGTATATGTATTTATATGAAAAAAACTTGTAAGACATATTGAAGTAAAAAACAAAATCAAATGTCAAAATATATTTCTGTCCTACCCTATTTGTATGCACAGCTTTATTGCTCAGGGATCTGCCTTGTATGAACATATCAAAGTGTACACAGCTGTTGTCCTTGGGAAGGGGTATGGAAATGTGGGAGGTGGAGGGGGAAAGGGCTCAAGGCAGGGGATGAGGTAATGGTGAGCTGTGACTTTTTTTAGTTACTCAATTTATATTTAAATTTTGAATGAAGGTTCATTTGTATTAAGAAAGTCTTTTAAAAAGATTTTCCACTTAAGAAGGAAAAAAGGTTCACTACAACAGGGCTGCTTGCTTCCTCACTTCTGTTCTATTCTAAGTAATTACAAGGGCCTTTACTTTTTATCCATTTTACATATTTGGATTTTTCTAAGAATTTATTTCAACACAAGAGTAGCATAAAAGACTAGCACATTTCTAAAGTTCTTTTTGAACACAATTTATAAGTGAGTCCATAAATCAATTGTGTCATGTGTGATGAACAGGCAGGAATATTTTAACCTCAGGTTTCCTGTTCTAGTCATTTAAAGTTCAGGAAGACAAATATATTCATATAGTACCAATATATAAGCATGAAAATGTAGTGTGGAAAAAAGTATGCATAAAAGGTTAAATGACAAAAACTAAAAAGTAATTGGTTTCTCTTATCATCCCACCTCCCATCCACCAGTAGGTATAAAAAGCCATACTCCAGTTCTAGGGTCCAAACACAAGACTATTTACAACCAATGCTCCCATTACTTTAAAAAATGGTGACACATATGCTCATGGTACATGAGGAGGAAAGTATAAAACTTGAGAACAGTGAGATTTTGATATTGCAAATTTATATAAAATTTGACAGAAGTCAGCATTGCTTCTGCACAGTCCAACAAAATGTTTTTTTATTTAAAGGCGATTTTTTTCCAGTATTACTGGAAATTCCCCCAATTTACTTCAATTATCTTTGTTCCATCCCAGTCCAAATCTTACTTTGCTTAATGTTTACTATGCTAAGGTTATTACAAAATAAAGGCCCAGATCCCTATGGCCAGAGTTCTACATCCTTGTCTTTTTTACCTTGTAAAAATGACTGAATAAAACTTTTAGATAAATGATTAAGTGATACATACTTTTTCTTTTCATTAGCATTTTAATAGAAAGATTATAAAATCTTGTATTACAAAATACATTTCATATTGTTGTTGCAATGGAAATTCAAGAAATAGCTTTATATGAACAAAAGGATGTTAAAATCAAGTTCCACATGGAGTCAGACATGAAAACAAGAACTAAAAAAGTTTGGTTAAATGTACTTATATCTAAGAATAGAAGAATTTTCAAAAGGAGCTAAATCCTATAAAAATGTAAAATTTATGTATGGTAAAAAATACTAAAAAATCACAAAATAAGTCTAAGATGAACAAATAAACTGGAAAAAATGTAAATATGATTAAAGGCTAAAGATTAAAGGCTCTTTATTTACACAGAATTTACACATATTAATAAGAAAAAGACAATCCAAATGAAAAATAAAAAAAGTTTAAAGGAGAAACATTATTTAGAAAAGATCAAACACATGCAAATACGCTTAAGTCACATTCAAAACTAAGAAAACATGCAAATAGGTAACTTTTTCTGATGTGAGATACTAAAAATTAAAATGCTTGAGATATCCAGAACTTGGGGGGTTAGGATGAAGAGAAATATTCATACTAATACTAGTCACACAGCACAGAATAACTGAAAAGTGCCAAAAAAAAAAACAAAAACCTCAGTCCAAAAAGTCAGTGGGGAACTGATTAAATTTTGGCATACTCAGGTGGAATAAAATGGGACTGTAAGCAAAACAAAGTAGGTCTGTGTATGCTGACATAAAAGGTCTGAGTAAAAAAGTACATGCTTTAAAAAAAGGATACAATAAGTTAAAAAAGGAAGGTGTATTGAACAATGCATCAACCAGGGAGAAAAACTATTATCAGGCTATAGTGCAATTGCTTTCTGTCCTCCAAAGCTGTATTTATTGTTAGATGAATAAAAGATAGGGGGAGGGGGTAAAGACTTACTATTCTGTTTTTACCATTGTATGTTTATGCACTTAGCCTTAAATAAACAGACTAACTCAAGTCTTTGTTTACTTGGTATTTATATTAAAAAAAGCATGATAACTTTTTTTTTTACATACAAATACAATGAAAGCAAAACATAGAAACTAAAAAAAAAAAAGAAATTACAACACAATCGCATGCATTATACATACCCAACTGACATTTAGCATGGTGGAACATCTACTTTCTCCATGTCAAAAATTACTATATAAAATATACACTGTTACTATAGACAAAGATCTCAAAAACTTCATTGATATTTATTGCTACAATCTCACAGTTATGTTTCAGTGGCTGATCTTCTAATTAGGTCACCAAAATAAGCAGTGATTGTCTTTAACTTATTATTAAGAAAGTTTTGTTCTATTTCCACTTGTCCTCCAGGTCCAGCTAAGGATGCCACCTAAAAAAAGGAACAAAAGAAATTCACACACATTGGCTGATTGATTTCAAAAAGAATCTCTTTCATATGCTTTTTAAAATATTCTTTACGAAGAAGACTAATTCTTAAAGTCCTTCAAGTAATAAGGCATCTCAAGTATTAACTTTTATTTTCCATGTAAGTATCAGACAAATTTAGTGGCAGAAATACTTCTTGTTTCAGACACTTTTTATTACTATAGGTGAGAACATGGTGCTATGTTATTGTATAGGAGCTCATTTCTTCAATTCCAGAAACTAAAAAAACTTGGGAAGAGAAAAATGAACCTTTCTTTCCCAAATATAAGGTTTACTTACTAAGATAGGAATTCAAAGACCAATTCCTTTTCCTGAAAGCTTCTGTCCTGTTCTTAACATCTCTATCCACTGTCCTTCCTTCAACACTATTTAAGTACCTGCTACATGATACTACTAGAAGTACATCAGAGCACTAGACAGGTGTGACCCCACTCTCATGAGAGTTCTAGTTTACAGCATCTATTTTTTTCTACTTAAGATTATTCTTCCAACTTGTACTACCCCATCTACCTGCTGTTTTTTAGTGTTTTAAATCTCCCTTTTCATTGTTTTATGTAAAACATATTATTCTTTGAGGTCTGCTAGAATACAATGACCAACTCTTTTTAGGAAGTTAAAAGCACTATTCCCTACCCCATGTCCAGAGTTCATATCAAAAGGTTGCTAATCAAATGACCTGTAACAGGGATTGAGAACTGCTCAGGATTTTTTTTTGGCTCCATGACAATGTTTGTATTTGACTTTGTAACACATCAAGCTAGCAATGCTTTACTGTAAGTTTTTATATAGATAAAGCTTGTCTGGGGCCAACATCTTTTCATCTAACTTCCCAGATTTATTAACTGGCAAATATATTACCTTGCACCCATGACCACATCTGCAAAAATCAGTTCATTAGAGTGGCAGTAAGAATTAAGGGAAAGGGGCCCTCCCTGGTGGTGCAGAAGGTTAAAGCACAGCACTAAGAAGCTAAAGTCACTTCTTCCTGAGTTTGATCCCCGCCTGCCCTGGAGGTGATCCACATGGCACTGCAGACCTCTCCTGACCCACCCACTGCTCCCCTCAGCAGTGTACTTCAATGATCTGCCTGTTCTGCTCCACACCTGCTCTCTGGTGAATCCTCTCGCCACCCCTGCACCTCTGGCTTTACCCCCTGTTCTGGATGCACAAATAAGGGAAAGGGGAATGCAGTAGAAAACCCTGGGAATCACACTGCCATGACTGTTAAGTAGCAGGGACAGGTTCAAACAATAGGAGACATGCATTTCTGAAATTAATTCTGTAATTGTTATTAGTAAAACTACAATTAATTCTGTATTTCAGTCTAGTTTGGTTTGGAGACTGAGAGTATCTCACTGAAATTACACATATTATAGCAGCACTGGCAAAAGGTAAGGTTTATATGCCTCATCAATGTACATGTATTTTCAAGTATCTCAACTTCCTCTTAGGGAAAAAAGTCAGATACTAAAAAAAAACCTGTCCACCAGGTAGGTAAAAATATCAACATTAATCTCTGCCAGCAAAGAGACACAAAAGAACAGGTTGTTTTAAATGAATAGCAATTAGATGACAATACAGGTCAGATCTAGTTGTTAAAATAATGACAAGCACATATACCCTACTATTTGCTAATAACAAAATAATAATTTAAGAACACTAGAAATTAAAATAGCCATGTAGTCTCAGAGTGGCAATTATTAGGTATAATAGTTTTATTGTCTATTTTGGTATGTTTATATCAGTCTGAAAAACAAAATGAAGTTTTTGAATTTAACCAATAAAAAGGCTTTGATATTGTAATTTATAAGGAATATATTTGGTTCTCTGGATGGCCAAAGTGTAGTTCTCATACATATTTGTTCTTTATCTACAGCTCCTGGCTCACAGCCCCATACTCCTTGTAATTTTCTGAGTGTTGAGGTGACATTTTAGGATCACCTAAGGATCATGGCTTGGTTAGAATTTTGTCCACTCTTTTGCCTCTGGTATGGGAAAGGAGCTGAAGGCAGAATCAACTGCCAATGACTAATGAGTTAATCAATCATGCCTACATAATGAAACCTCCCAAAAATTCCCAAAAGAAACTCCTTAGGTAGTTTCTGGGTTAACACATGGAAATCTGGGTTAGAGGCATGGCTTCAAGAAGGCTTTTAAGCTTTTTACCCCTCTCCCCATACACCACGTTATGCATCTCTTCCACTGACTGTTCCTGAATATCCTTTGCAATAAACTGGTGATTAAATTGGTTTCTTGAATTCTGAGTCATTCTAGCAAATTAATTGAAACTGAGAAAGGTATCTTGGGGATCTTTGATCTAAAGTTGGTTGGTGAGAAAACAGGTGACAGCCTAATCTTATGATTGGCTTCTGAAGTAGAGTGTGGTCTTGGGAGACTGGGCCTTTAATCTGTGAAATCTGAGACTATCTTGGGATAGACTGTGTCAGAACTGAGTTCTCTAATACCCTGCTGGTGTATTAGAATTGCTTGTCAGTGGGGGAAGCCTACGCATACTCATATTGGATAATGAGCTAAAGGAATAAATACTTGGGCATTGTGACTAACAGATCTAATTTTTCACAATAAATTCTGCATGAGGTAAGGTATTAAATGAAGTATTCCTCTTGTTCTTTTAAACAAATGACATGTTTAAGTAGAGTGAGACTGGCAAGCTGACATTTTCTTTGGGGTTGGGGGATAAGGGAATGGGGGGGAAGGGAGGCAAAGTAGAGAGATAAGAGGTTAAGAGAATGGAGTCAGAGGTCAAACAACAGTGAAAACCCTGCTGGATTAGTGGTAGCAGAAACAAACAGCCAGAGGTCAATTTTATTACCAGTACTACTACTAATTTCCTGTTAATTAAAAAAAGCCTTTAAGGTTGGCATTGACTTTCAAGATCTGAAGAACAGGAATACCACTATCTCCCTATCAAAGGGCATTTCTGAAGAAAAAATTTTCTAAAATTTACTTGGAAAAAATTGAAAGCAATATAAAATAGATAGTTATTGTTTTTTTTTTAAGTGGCATATAGACTTACACTGAAAAACATCTCTGTAAAGGTCGTATAGTTTTTTACTCTTTCCCCCACTTTCTAGATGATTGTCTTTATTAAGACAAAAAGCAAAGAAAACATCATTACATGGAAGTTTTTGAAGTCAATTACAAAACAATCAAATCATTTTATTCCATAACTATTCACTGAACAGAGATTTTTTTTTTTGTTTACCAAAGCCACTGGGTTTTGCTCTGGCCAGTGGAATGCAGCAGACAAAAACTTCTCTGGGTCTATGAATCTTACATTTTTGTTAGAGTCAGACGATGGACAAAACTGGAAGGTTAGTATGGCAAAATATGAGAAAATATAGTGTTTAAAAAGAAATTAAAAAATTTCCAGGTTTCTAATTAGAAAGTTTCTAGCTTTAGCCTTTTTTACATTTTACAACTATATATGTATCTTAAAGTAGATACATATATAGAATTCTGGACTTAGACTAAAGTTTATAGACATTAAGCTGGTAATACTTTGCTTCAAGTAAACTGAACGCTATCGATTTCCAGCTGTCTTTACTTTTGACAAAAGTTATTTGGTTCCTTACTACTTCTTTAAATTAAGCAATATTTCAATGTTTAAGTGTATAAATAAATATATATATTTTTGCAGATGGCCTTTCAGATACCTTGAATGCTACCTCAGCTCTCAGATATTGTTTTTTTCAAACATTTACTTGATCAAAGTTCAAGTGATGTTTAAAAGCACAAAGTGTTTTAGGAAGTAGTGACCACTTCCTATATCCAGATACATCACTAATGTTTGTATTTAACCTGTTATTAGAATAGTGGGAATGTGAAGATTGTTCTTAAAGCTTGTATTCAGAAGCATATGTGCTTTCCTAATTTGACTAATGAAGCCATTTTTATAGCTCCTCTGGAGAAAAATATATGGAGTACAAGAACCAATAATATGATACTACTCCAACTGTTCAGGGGCAAACCTGCCAAGAGAAAGCTGGCTAATAAGATTAAAAGTCAATCAAATTTGTATCCTTAATTAGCAATGTATGATTAATTAGCAGAATTCACAAAGAACAGATTAGAGTTGGTCTAGAAACCTGGGTTGCTACGAGAGATAAGAGAATACCTGTGGCAAAAATAAAGCTCAGCAGCTAGTGACTCTTTCCCTTCTGGTCAACTTTTAGCCTTCTGTCTTTCTTACCAATCAGGATCAGAACAGAACTGACTTAGCAGAATTCGTTGTATTTTCCGTTGCTTCACTAGCCACCTCAATTTCTATTCACTACTTCCAATCTCATAGTCTGCAAACTCTGTGATAAGAGGTGAGTCTGTTCCTTTTTGGTAATGAGTACCTTGTTAGCAGATAGCAAGGCCCCAACTCTCATTGTGAGGTAGACCCAGCAGGCAAATCACTAAGCTGCTCTAGTTCACATGTCAATATGATCATACTGATAATCTGATTTGCTTACTCCAAACTTGCTGTAATGATCCAAGTCAGGGAAACATACAAATTCTATGTTATTTAGACAAGACACATTTATTAAGTTCCCATGTTGTATATAAATGCAGGGCAATGTTCCTTTAGCAGCAGAATGTACTTCTGAGAACTCCAAGTTTTTATAGACTGAGTATTTTCAGATTAAGAGTTTATTATTAAGTATCATGTACCGTAAGTCCAATATAGTTTCTCAGCCCTCTTTTACTCTCCTGCTGCTGGTTCCTAGAACTGCTGGAATGACTACAGTATTTACTGATGGTCATGGCTTTGACTATGAAAGTGATGCTCTATGACCAGATTTCAATTATGGAAATTTCATTTAGAACAGTAAATCTTTTATCAATTTAAAAATTTTGAAGCTAGTAAGCCCCAATCTTCTTTATAATAAATACACAGATATGATAGCTAAAAAACAAAATACTTGTAAATAAAACTGTATTTGCAGACTTCTGGGGCATTCATTCAAAAACAAACAAAAAAAATCAATTTAGTTATATCCAAATTATTTTCTGAAAAACTTCCCAAATTGTTTCTCTATTATCAATAGTTTTTTAATTAGTCAAAAGCCTCTATTTTCTACATGGTAAGTCTTAGAAATGTTAAAATCTTGCTGATAAGTTTTCCCTTCCTTCTCTTACCTATTAGATGGATAGACCTACTGAATAAAATAAAAAGTGAAAAGTGTAATGACTTCTACAGTTAGAAACTTTCCCCTTCCTTCCTGATGGAACAAACTGTAAGGGGTCAATGGATGCCTCACAAACCCAGTCAACTAGAAAGATACTTTGATTAAAACTAACATCAATTTCTATACTTAAAGACACAACCTAAACAATTACAGGTAAGTTTTACCTATGGTATCAGGTTACTTGGTAAATATTCTCTTACATTATCAGGAAGTAAAACAGGCAGGGTTTGGCCTAATTGTTCTCAGGATGTCAGTCTGGGGGGAAGTCATGGAAGGGTGGAGTACGTTTACAAACAAGTACCAGAAATTAAAAGATACTGGACTTCCTAATTGATTATTTCAATCTTAGGGGATGTTTTTCAAGATATTCCTGTTTTCTATATTGCTATGAACAGATTATAAAGAAAAAAAAACAACTTAGTTCATGCTGAAAAGTATAAATACTATTATCACTTTCCCCAAGTTAGCTATTTTAAGAGATAGAACTGAGCAAAGATACGCCACCCAGTAGCCAATCCTTCAACGTTCCTGCATCCGGTCAGGAGACAGGACTCATCTAGTTAAGATCCTACCCCAGGGATTTATACTACAGTTTGAAAATCACTGTGGTATAGTGCCTTTGGGGAAACTAACCATTTTTCTCTGCTCAGAGACCGCTTTTTAAAAGTTTTTCATCTTTGAAAAACATGGTAGCTGCAAAGCCAATATTGGCTACAGTTCTATGGTTATCAAAACATAGAAATAAAGGAAAAACAGGAAGATATAGGTGTCAAGCAGATAAAATCTGGAGACCATCAATTGAATCTAATCTGTTTCCAAGTTTCAAGTGATATGTGAGAGTGAGATATACCTTCTTTTCAAAGAGCTAATTATGAAAAGACTTTCCAAATTACTCAGTTCTTGAGTTTCATAGTAAGAATCAGATAGAAAGGGATTCATGTTGTGGAGTAACTTCAAACACAAAACAGGAAGTAAGAGTAAAGTAACAGAGTCCTAGAAAAACAATTTACTAGACCAGAAAACAATCATCCTCATCTCCGGAATGGCAAACTTGCAAGAAAAGTTGTATTGGTATTTAGTCCATATTCAGTTTAGCTTCCCTGCATATAAATGTTATCCACAGTACCAATTTTTTCCTGACAGGAAACAAGTTTTTTTAAAGAGACAGTTCCATGGGAAAATTCAGTCTGAATTTAAAATATCTGACTCACACACTTTTGAGAAGTCAACCTAAGTGTAGTAAGTTCAGGTTGTTGTAACATTATAAATAAACAGTCCTCAACAAAAAAGTGACTTTCTGTAACTTAGCTCTCTTTCAATCTTACAGAACTATCTCTTCTGTTATTTTTAAAATAATTTGATTATAATTTGATCCAAATTCAGTATCAACCAACACAATGCACTTGAAATCTCTTCCTTTTTGACTTTTATTATTCTCTAGTGTCATTGCTCCCTCTAGAGGTAAAAAATGTGAATGAACTGGCTTGATTTGGGAGTCTAGGATGCAGCTCTTAGTCACATGCACAACAATTAGGCTTAATAGCATATTTGACATAAAAATTGCATGCATCAAGGAGACAGTGACTTTGATTTGGAAGGGCTAATGTTAGATAAAATGGTTCATAAATAGGTGACAGGCAACAAGATACAGTTTTATTTCTATTTGGTGTACATTTAAGGTTACAGTAACACAGAAAGTAATACTGCTGTGAGAAGCTAAGAGAAACAGGTAGAAACTACCTTTGTAGCTGCTTTCTTATTCCTCCCTCTCCAAACCCCCAGAATGGAGAACTTAGACCTTAAGATTAAAGAGTAGTCTTCAGAAACTGCTTTTATCCAGCTCCTCCCCAAAAGGAAGCTTATGTCCTGAGGCGGTATTCTGTGATAACCGGGTTTGCTACCCAAAATCATACCCACTTTCTAACTGCTGGAGTATATCCCTGATGCTAACACAGGTTACATTGTAAGTTGACTCAGAGTTCTGAAAAACCAGTTAGGTCAATTTCTGGAGTGGAGCTTGGACAGTCTGTTTTTACACGTCCTTAGTGATTCTAAAATGAAACTGGGGTTGATAATGGATTCTGGCCTAGCTTTTCCTCTTTTCCATTACTTGGTGATAGCCAATAACCAGTAAGGCAAGCTAAGTGACAATCATGAATGTGTCATGCTTTTCCTCTTTTCCATTACTAGGTGATAGCCAATAACCAGTAAGGCAAGCTAAGTAACAATCATGAATGTGTCATGGAAGAAAAATGAACTGTATTATAAATAATAAAACAGAAAAACATAAAATGCTTATAGAAAAATCAACAAAAGCATGAAATAAAGGCATCAAATCTTAGGAGGCAGTTACTGTTAGTTAAATGTTCTATATCCTAAGACTATAGTTACAATTGTTCTTGAGACAAATTAAGGTTTTTTTCTGTCTGTATACTTTGTTATTTTCAATAACATCGAAAACCTCTATTCTCAAGGTAGGTTTTAAGGACAAATCTTGACTAGTTTAAGTGTGGAACATTTGAAACATATTCAACCATTCCTTCAATACATGTAATAAAATATTAAAGTGCTCTATTCAAATATTCATGTCTGCCAAGAACTGTGGAGATGAAGACAATGAAGTAGGGATAGAGTAAGTACCAAGCAGCTCTAGTTTCCTAGTGGCCAAAAATCCAAGGACTTCTCATAATAAAACATTCTAAATTTTATCTAATTATTATTGTGTCTTTTTCCTGCCCAATCTTTATAACAGTGATGCCAGAGGCTTCTACAAGTTCTTAAGTAATAGCTTACCTGATCAACATCAGCGTTTCTTGGCAGAAAATAAACAATATTATTAGTGATCTTCTTGGAAAGTCTGAAAATTTCAAAGGTGCGGAGCAGTTAAGAAAAAGTAACAAAAAAACAGTTAATTTTTTGTCAGACATCTGCTCTTTGCTTATTATAACTCAAACACATGTTGGTATGTAGCAGTAAGAACAAATCTAAAATCTTTAAATGAACCCAGAAGAGAAATACATAGCAGATTTTGTAACTCAGCAACATACTGCCCCTGACAGATCAGAGGTTAGAAGTTAAAACGTATTTATTAAATAATCCTAGTGTTGGCAGCTAAGAGTCAGAAACACTTTAGTCTACATTCTAAATTTATTTGTGCTATTATTTATGAAATCAGGGTTTGTTTGAGTATCTTGGAAGAGTAATAGGGAAAATTTGAAGGTACAAAGAGAATTAGCAAAAGTTAGTATGAGTTAAATAAAGGTTAAGTAAGGGATGATGTAGTGTAGAGATGGGTGTTGAACAAATTCCCTATTTCCACACAATGCCAAAAATTAGTGCATTCTAGTTCTCATTTTGCAATGGGAAAACTGGACAGGAACCAAAGGAAACATCGCTTCACACCTGCTATTCCTTTTGGGTATCAATCACCACTTAGTTTTACACACAATCTGCTTTAGATGCAAAAAACCTGGACACAAACAAGTGCTATTAATTAACACCCTCCCCCTCCCTCCCAAGACTTTCTCTCTTAAACTTTTTTTTTCTTTCCCCTTTTCCTCCATTATCATTCTTTGAGTAAACTTTTCAAATTTCAAAGGATATCCATCCGGAGACATCATTGTTCTAATATCAAAGGTGTCTGCAGTAGCATAATCTGGCCCACCCCATGGAGGGCTGAGAAATACAACATCGGCCTTTAAATGAGAAGCCAGCAACAAGAAGTCTCCACAGATGAACTCTATCTTGTCTGCTATCCCATAAACTTCTGCATTATTGCGAGCAAGATCAATCTTAACTGGATCAATATCGATGGCAATCACTAAAAAGGGGAAAGCAAAAATAAATCAAATTAACAGTGATTATTGGTGATACAGAATAGTTCATCTTCTGAGCGATCTGCTTATCTTCTGTTAAAAAAAGTACAGACTAAGGGAGGTATTGGTATATCAAGACTAGTTACATTTTTTTAATTTAAAGATCCATTTTTCTTGTACCAAGGAAGTATGAATGAAGGACCTAGCTGTCAAAGTTATCTTACTCAGCCAGCCTTACCAAAGGAAGTAGTGAAAGTTCCCACCTAGGGAGTCAAATTTGTGTTTGGCACACTGTGCTCTATGAACAGTCTTAGCAGAAGTTCTTGAAGAGGTCACCAACTACATGGAAAGCCTATAATGGTATCAGAAAAGTTCATTCTCAAACAGAAGCAACCTCTCAAATGGAAGACAAATTTGATAACTTCTACAAAAAACTAAAACACATTTTTTAGAAACCTATATAACCAACTTATAAAGAAACGTAAAAACATTTGCTAATGATATTTAATGAAACCATTTACGTAGAGGGGATGGATATAACATTATTTTCATTGAGCTTTCATTTAACTTACTGTAATTTTATAATTTGCAGTGCAAACATAAGTTAATTTTAGCTCACTCATGTCATGTAGTAAGTTATCAAGTGTACTTGTATGTGCACCAGAATATTAATGGAAATATGTCTGGAAGGGCTAAGTGGAACCCTGATGCATACAGAATGGTAGTCATGGAAACAGTTATTTTCTAAAAAATGCTGGTTTCAGTATTTGTTAATGTTTTTGAAAATACTGTACTAAATAAATCATGTGAATCAAGAATATAAGAACAAATTATATGTTGCAAAATCATGCATTTATAATGCCATCTTTTCTGTTCAAAATTCTCATATCTTCACCTTCCGCTGGAGGTCAAATTTGTTTTTAGGTTAGGCCTAAAAGAATATAAGCAATATATTACATTCATGAAATGCTACCAAGTGTTGGGTGACATAAAAAGTTGCATTGTCCAGTAATGGTAGCTATTAGTGGTGACTATCTTTAAATTGATTAAATTACTAAGAGGATATTCCAATGCCATATTGCAGGTGTTCAACAGCCCACTGAGTGGCTATCACACTGGATAGGCAGACATTATTTTCATCATCACAAGAAATTCTATTTAGCAGCATTGATATTGCACTATTGACACACATACAAGGAGGAAAAAAACTTTTTAACAAAATGTACAGAATGGTAGTCATGGAAAAAGGGAACATGTCAATTATACAGAACACCATTTTCTCTAATGGTAGTGTAAATATGTGTGTACATACCACACAGGTGAATAAGTGTTTGCATATGCAAATGAATATATAAACATGCAAACACATTCACACACAATCAATTATACTTTGTTTTCAATGTGGTAAGTCCAAGCATACTAGGGCAACATACATGACTAATATTAAAGTACCAATGAGTTATTCTGCCTGTGGGAAGCAGACACCACTATAGTGAACATGCTTGAAGGCTCTGAAGCTTCCACTTCCACATACTGCAAAGACAGATGCCCGATCACCACGGTACTGAGAGAGTGTTTGCTGTGAGACTCTTTCTTCCCAGAGGCTAGGCTGACCGTCTGTAAGTTTGAAGTGATAAAAAGAAGCTAAAAAGCTATAAGAACATGGTAGAAGTAATCTCCTTTTAGCTTGGGACGAACATTAAGCATTTTTTTTACCAGATGTGTAGGAAGCTCCAGAAAACATTGGCAATAGAGGTGTATTTGTAGAAATATAAATCTACTACATGAATTGTTTCTATAATGTTTTGAGGAACTTTCCAGATTTGCTGCTTTATCAGAGAGAAGATATTTTTACTGTCATGTTGTGATACAATTTAAAATAAAGACAATTTTTATAACTTTGAGCAAAACCCTTTTTTTTGGGCAGTAAACACTAATTTGAGTTTACAAGATGGGCAAAGGCAGAGAGCCTTAAGTACAGAGTGAAGGGTCACCCTGGTGGCAAAAGGGGTTAAAGCGCAACACTATGGCACTATCTGCAGTCACTGCAGCACAAGTTCGCTCTCCAGCAAGGGAGGTGACCCACATGGCATAGCAGACCTCTCTACTGTCTCACCAACTGCTCCCCTCAGCAATGTATTTCAGTCAATCCATCTTTTATGCTCCCCACTCTGTCTCTGGTGAATCCTCTCACCCCCACCTCTGCCCTTTACCCTAGTTCTTATTATGCATAAATAAATACATCTTAAAAAAAAAAAAGAAAGAGTGAAGGCTTTGAAACACAAGACTATAATTACTATTCTGGTACATGTGAAAATAGTTTTAATCTAAGTAGGGTACTAGGATACCATAATAAAGTTAGTAAATGTCAGGCTTTAAACCCTAGAGTGACTGAATAAGGGTGCAATACATCAGCATTGGCTTAAAAAAAAAAAAAAAAAAAAGCACTGGCTTAAAAAAATAATCAATATTAGAATTAATCACTTTCCAGCTTCTGTGGCTTCTAGCTTTTCAAAGTCACATGTTTTCCCAGTTAATATTAAGAACTTTACATAAACAAATGTGATTTGGTTGAGGTCTGTTCAAAGTGAAACTATTATTGATATGCATAATATAAAGACATTAAAGGGCATCTTCACAGTATGACTTAATGACTGATTATCTCTAAAATATCCAACCATGTTATATTTAAGAAGGAATTATAAAGAACAGGGTACTAGTTCCAAAAGAGTGAGCAAACATTCTGGCTTTATGATTCAGTTATATTAATTTGAACAATTTACTAAAGCTTTGTTTGCCCTGCAAAAGAACATATACACAACCTACTCAACATAGTTCTTGGTAGCTATATAGTGATAAGAAGTTTTCATTCTTGTGATTCCAAAGTCCAACAACCACAAAGATGACTTATACTTCCAGATTTTTTGAATTTTAGAAATGTAAACGCTGAAAGATATTACAAAGATTATCTCAATATACTGTGCCCTTTAAATTAAGGAGAAATGATGTCCAAAGTCAGAAAGCTATTGAATGGTAAGCCTAGAACTCTGTGCACTGCTATGGTCCCTTTCTTCTAAAGAATAGTCTCCCATTTTAATATTTTTAGTTTTATATGTTATAGTCTTGATTCCACCAAGCTGTGCCTGTCTATTCTTGGATAAATTACTTCATCAGTTTATTTCTCAGTTAATCTATGAAACATAGTAAAAGACATTTTGCAAGACTGCTGACTGAATGAATACATACATTATTAGGTACATACCTTAGTATGTGATATAATGTATTTTTTAATATATACACTGTTATTTTAAAATATTTGGTACTAAACTATGAATTATATATTAAAGTTGAGCAAAGATAGGCTAATGCAAAAGGAAACATTTACTGAATAAATTGAAAATAACAATCTCTTCCATTGAAAGCTAATTACCTCTCTTTCCTGTCAAGGCAAATTGAATGGTATTCCCTCCAACTCCACAAAATGCATCCACTACAATGTCACATTTGAAGGTCTGACTGACCCGGCCAGCAATGTGCTCAGCAATCTTCTCAGGTGTAACTGAAAACCAGCCCTCTGTGAAAGAAAAATTATTTCTCTTAAAATAAAATGTTCAAATTTCAAGAAGCCAAGAAAAACAAACATAACAAACATTACTACGTTATATACTTAAAAACTCATTATCCCTTTCAAAAAGTGCGAATTACCTAGTTTTAGAGAAAAGTTCTATAAAGCTTTATAAAAATAAACCACTCTTTCCAATTTCCAGAGAAACAATCATTCCCATTCTTGTCTATGATTCCATAAATGAATTATGTCTATAAATGAACACAATTCCAATTTCTCTGCTTCAGGCATTAATTACTGACTAGGGAAAATGGAAAGTTACCCATTCTAATCTGCCAACTCTCCAAACTTCACTCAGTTCCTCAATTCTTTTATTTCTAATAAGGAAGCAATGAACCACATTTGTACTGGATTTTGGAAAAGTTCTCACATTACCCAAGTGTCAAGAAAAGCAAGAAGCTGATAGCTAAAGAAGTATAGCAGGAAGGGCAGAACCCTAACTCCATACCCTAACTCCAAAATAATACTATAAGGGACATTACTAGGATAACTGGTGAAACTAGGATGAAGCAGTGTAGATTATGATAATGTAGCAATGTTAAATTTATAATTTTACTATTGTTATATAAAAACATCCTGGTTTAAGAAAATACACACTGAAGTATTAAGGGGTAGGAACAACTGAATTAGCAATACAAACAAGAAAAACTACGCACACACCTAGAGAGAATAAAAAAGCACATGTGCCAAATATTAATAGTTGAAAATGGATAAAGGGGATATGAACAAAAAGAAAGTTTTCTGTACAGTGCTTGCAATTTCTCTGTATATTTGAAATCATTTCGAAATAAAGCCAGAAAATACATATACTTCACCTCTATCCAACTTAATCCCATCATCAAATCGGGAGAAAAGCCTGTATCTCTGGGCCCAGTATTTTGCGAGTTCAGGAACAGCAGCTATCTCAGGAGGCAGACCATTTACCTTTTTGTTCTTGCTTTTCTTCTTATTTTTCTTTTTACTTTCAGCTACAATAAAAGAATATAAAAAACAGAGAGCTCATTCTAAAATAAGAGAATCACAGTGAATTGATCTAAAAGTACAGCCTTATCAACTGATTGCATTTGGGACTGTGCTCTAGAACATGTATGGAGAAGCAGAAGGCACAATGGAAACAGCACTGACTATATTACAGTCGCCATTTTGCTATTTACTGGCTCCCTGGGCTTATAAAGAAACTTGGGTTCTCTAAGCTTTCTCTCTCTCTTTATTTAAAAGACTGATTTATTTATGCATACAGAGCTGGGGTAAAGGCCAGATGTGCAGGGGTGGTGAAAGGATACACCAGAGACTGAGTGGATAGAACAGGCAGATCAACGAAGTACACTGCTGAGGGGAGCAGTGGGCAAGACAGGAGAGGTCTGCACCATATAGGTCACTTCTGGGGCTGAGGATCGAACTCACACTGAAGTGGCTGCAGCCAGCTTGCAGTGCTGTGTCCTAACACATTGTGCCACCAGGGAGGGCCTCTCAGCTCTTATTTTTAATTCCTCATCATCAGGAGTGAATGACTGAGTATTACTTAACCTACTTTTTTCATAGGGATGTTAGGAGAAAAGCAAAAATACTATCATATCTATAAAAGATATTCCTGTAGACAAGACACTATTTAGTTGTTGACTTATAAAAATTTAAATATTTTCCTTACCTTCTTTAAAATAAAAGTTCTTAAGGACTGATAAAGCTCTTGTTCTTAGTCACATCAGTTCTCAGAACCTAGCCATCAACTAGAAGGTGTAAAATAGGAGTCACTATCTCTGTTTCATTCACTCAGAGACTGATTTTTTTTTAAACTTCCAATTTTTAGTAGTTTGATTATATGGTTTCAGTTTTGAGCAGATCAGAAGCAGTAACTTAGAATGATGAATGTGCTATGTTAACTAAATTTAATGAAAAGAACTAATACAGGCACATAAAACTCTACTATACTTAAAATAGTCCTCAAGGAAAGGACCATGTCTTAACATGGATTGCAACAGCAAAATCCAGTGAAGAGTTCCTTGAGAGGGGATACTGATTTTTTGAGTGAACAATTTTTGTTGTGCAAAATCACATTGTAATCTAGACTACTAAATGCTAGTATTTCTGAAGTCCTTCTCACAACCACTATCTTCCAAATACTTGAGTGGTGGTAGCAGAAAAGTAGGGTAGGAAAAATGAGATTTAGGAATCCGTTCACTGGTAGTGAGTCAAAGGTACTATTCACTTCCCAAATGACCCTGGGCAAATTTCTTAATTTCTTTGAAGCTTTATTTTCTATATTTATTGAATAAGGGTAATTCTACTCACCTTATTGGGTTACTTTACAGATTAAATAAGAATAAAACATGTTAAAACATTCAGAATGTTCAAGTACCAATGAACATTAGTTGTATGATGGTAATAAAAAATTAAAATTACATTAAGAACATTGTTTAGAAAGGGCAAATACATATACAAAGATCAGTGGTCAACACAAAAATACACAGGGCTGGGGCAGGGGGGAGATTTAAGCAAAACATTCTCCTCAATAGTATATTAAAACTATGAAGGACTTCAACAATTCTTACTGGCTCCATTTAGGGTATATCTGAAAAATTCAATACAACTGAACGTTAAATGAAAATTTCTACCTTATAAAAGCTTTCATGTTAAACTGAATGTAATGATTATTATTTTTTTAATAATAAAAGAACATTTGCTATAAAAATATTCAAATAGTACAAAACGGCATAAGTAAACATGTTATTATAGCCTTGTACTGTAAATACTTCTTACACATGTGTCAAAAAAACCCCACAAACTATCACCAACAAATAATCACTACAAATAAACAAAAAACAAAAATTAAAAATAAAGGAAATTGGCCACTATTAGCTCATGGAACTGACCATGGTGGTAGAGACCAATCTTTCTGGAAGAGGCAGAGGTGCTCAGTTTTCCCAAGTGCTTTTACCTTTTATTTTAATGCACTTGCTCTGCTAATAGTAAAGTATGCCCTGGGTGCTAAGCCATAACCATTAGAACATTTCACTTTAATATGCTCTCAACTTAAAAAATAAATAGCAGGTGTGAAAATTTAGATACAGATGATTCATAAATGAAAACTAAGGAAAGACAATTATTTAAACATGAATTTGTCTAAACCCACTAGCAAGGTGAAGTGGATTTAGTTTTACCTTCAGTTTCTCCCTGAAGAGAGTCTGGTACATCTTGAGTAACACAATCCTGTTTATGTAGAAGAGCTGCTACTGAGCTATCCTTTTCATTTTTTCCTGTTCCAGGTTCACCAGATGAAGATACGGCATGACACTTTTCAGGTTGTGGACTGCTAATCTCGAGCAGGTCATCACCCTTTTTAACAGAAATTTCTTGGTCCTCTGAATCACTGCTTGTACAAGTGTCTAGCACATTATTGTGAGAAGGTGACTCTGGCGATGTTTCCTCATTGACCCATTTTAGAAATTTTTCAACCTAAGAGTATATGATATCAGCAAATATGAGTTAATCTCAAATAACACAGAATATTCCCACTGTTTTACCAGTTATCACTTGAATGACATCTGTGTCATACTTATTAGCTCTGTAAGTATGATATACATGCTATTGTGAATAAATAATTCTAAATACCTGCTCTTTGCTGTCTGGATATACCATAACCTTATTAAAGATTTTGTTAAAAGGGAAAAAATATTAGATTAAATATTAAGACTATGGCCACCCTATTATCAATTAACACCAAAAGGATAAAGCTTTTCCAAAAAATAACTGTACCGTGTGCTATCACCACCACAAATACACTTATTATTGAGCAATATATTAATTTTGGTTTTTCAAATTATATAGAGCTTTCTGCAATGGTTCATGTCACAATCTGTGGTATTCAACATCAAAAGTAAACTCAAAAAAGGACAGTGACAATCTATGAGAATAAAAGCAGTGTTATATTAGAAAGAAAGCAGCTGAGTCAGCAAGATGATTCCCCAAAAGTAGGATTTGTTCTCTGAAATGTTAACAAGGCTCCAAGGCAGATGATAAATATTTCCTTGCATTTTCATAACGTGAATATTCTTCATAACAGATCTTCATGTCCTTCTTGAGTTAGTAAATCAGAAGGATTGAAGACATAAATTGAAAATGAACAACAGCCCAGAACCTTCCTTGGAAGGTACTGCACCTACACAACAATGTGGTATCTAAGGACACAACAATCACATTTATTTTTCCTCGCCAGACCTTAGCAGTTATGTTTCTGTTCTTAGCTACAATTAAATGATGGGATCATCACATCCAATACATCATAAAAAGTCCTATAGGATTGACTGGACTGATACTGGGATAACAGCTTCAGAGAGAAACACAGTCACTGCAATATTAAAATATATCACCAGTAAAAATCCCATTAAAATATAAAAATAAAAGGAGTTATAAATTTGTAGCATGTTTTAGAAATGTTGAAGTTAGGGAGAACCATATATCGTAAGTTAAAACTCATCATGGTTCTAAGATTTTGTTACTAACGTTCTGCTCACATGAAGGTGTCTTTTTTTTCTATATGAAGGATAACTCATCAATCAAGCAAAAATAATTCAAGATGCTTGTTTTCCAGGTCCTTGGATAGCAAGTATAGCAAAGTCCAAGAGAGGGGGACGAGAACAGTACAGTGATTCTTCTTGTGAATCACTAAATTAACCTTGAGTCTCATGCCATTAAGGTGAACTTATTAGTACAAAGTTGGATCTATCACTTCTTGATGACCCAAAAACTCAGGCTTAAAAGGTGTGTTAGGAAAAGGACTACCAAGGATCCTGCTTACCTGAGTGAAATGAGAAATCCTACTGTCTTACTATTTACACAGGGTAATTTTACCTATTTATTTTCCTAGACACTACTACTTTGTAGTTTTGACACATCTCCGTTTCATATTCCCCCCAACTTAGGTTTTTAAATTTAGTTCCTACAACAAATGCTAGTTAGATATCCTTATAACAGGTAGAAAGAGTTCCCATTTGAAAACAGTCTTAAGAGCCTTGCTCACAAAATGAAATGCTATCGGTAAGTATAAAACAAAATTTACACATACCTTACTCAAAGCTTTGCTTTTCTTCAAAAGTGGTTTTTCTGCCTCTTCAGTGAAAAAGATGTGTTTATTTTTCATATTTATCTGTCTTCGCATATCTAGGAACTTTGATTTATACTTTATGTTCTTCTGTAGATACCTGACCCTCCGATGACTGAAATTTGAAATCTCACCATATCTGTGACCAAACAAAAGAACTGGACTCAAACATAAGTTCTATGGGCTTGTTTCCCTACATGAAAAGAGAATAAAACTAACACTTTTCACTATTTTCTGTTAATAGTCACCATTTTCATTTTATTTTTCTAAGTGAAGAAAACTATGAAATAAAGTTTAAAATGCAGGGAAATTTGAGGTCTGGTCTGTATGTTAATTGTCAACTAAATATGAAACACTGAGGATGGAAATATCAACACATCCAAGCTGAGAGTACACAGTAAAATGTAATAAACAGCAGAAAAATATGACCCCATAGCATATAGGAAGTATATATATTTTTCTCATAGTGAAGTGTTGCCAAATATCTGGATAAGTTTGAATTATCTTAAAAGTGGTCCCTGAACTCATAACCTAACTCAGTTCATGCTTAGCAAAGAAGAAAATCACTATTATCAAAATGATTAGAGAATGTATGTTGATTTAACCATATGAAGTTTACAGTGCTAAAATGTATGTCCACCTTAAAGCCTTCTTTGACTATATCAAGCCTCCTTTAACGGGGTCTCCTACACACAATTTGGGACTGAGATTACAACATACAATTTAGCATGTGTACATTCCTGAGTAATTTGATTTTAAATGCCAGGTGTTGCAAAGGACACAAAAATACTGCTCTAAAAGGCAATCTGTACTCCAAAGCTCATTGCAATACTATTTACAATAGCCAAGACATAGAAAATACCAAAATGCTCCAAAACAATGAAAGGACCTAGATGTGGTTTGTATACACAATGGAGTACTCCTCAGTGATCAAAAAAGAAATTCATGCCATTTGTGGTGATAGGGATGGAATTAGAAGATTCATATTAGAAGGGGTTATGCTATGTGAAATAAGCCTGAAGAAAAAAGATAAGTAACTGATGGTTTCACTTACGTGTGGAACAGGGAGAAAGCAAAAAGGGTCAGGTAAAAGACAAAAGTTACAAGCTGATCATAGACCTGAGGCAGATAGCAGGAGGGGAGAAGGGTAATAAACAGGGTAGGAAGAGCAGGAGGGACTGTGGTGATGGACCATGGGTATGATGGTAGAGCGAGAGCTACAGGGACTACACTGGATGGGAGAAATCAAACACTGTCCAAAAATTAACAACAATTTAAGAAAGTTCAAATTTCAAAAGGAATTTTCATTTTCAAAAACATTTACCTTCTAGCCATAAACTTCTTTATAAAAATGAATGTAGGGTGTTCTAAGTAGGAACAGGACAGTTAAGAATACTAGCCAACAGTTAGCTAAGTATGTCTCAAAAAAAAAAAAAATTCTGCTAGCAATTTAAACATGGCAATATCAAGAAAACTTTTGTATTACTTAATCTTTCTGATCTTTAGTTTTAGATAACTATATAAACTACTTAAGTACTATAAGGAAATGATAAGTGAATCTTTAAATAACAATATTATGGTACTATAGTTATGAATGCTCATTTCTGAACTACTATGAATTCAACTTATGGGTCAACCTTAAGAACCATGTTGTTTTCTTACTGACATCATAATGTGTAGGTATCTAATAAAATTTTAGAGCTAACGAAAATAAATCTAAACCCTTAGAAATATCAAATACCTTAATCTCAACTTAAATCACTGGTGCAAATTGGAGGATTTACATTTAGCTCTTGAGACAGCAGGTCCTTTGTGTAACTTCATTCAGTTTTAATCTTTGTATTGTATGCAATAAATCCTTCGGTTTCCTTATATTTAATAATTGAGCATTTAATTGCAGAGAAAACTTACATATGGATCTAAATGTTCACAGCAGCTTTACTTAACTGCCAAATATTACACATGATTAAAGTTTCCTTAAACAAATTAATAGTCGGACAAATGGTACATCCATACAATGAAATACTACTCAGTAGCAAGGAGGAATGTACCGGTACAATGCAAGGGTGTATGTTTAGATCTTAAAAGCAACCTAGATGTGGATACAGGATGGTGCATGAAAAACAGCCCCACTGAAAGATCAGTAAATCCAGGTGTATTTACAGTGCAGGGTGTTCACTGCACATTGTTGAGGGGAAAGGGCAAGTTCCAGAATACCTGTATCTGTGTTTTATACAATGCTTTTTTGTTTTATAAAAAGAGATTTTCATGTATATACATATATAATTATAAAACACACACGTTACATTAGGATGGATATGTGCCAAATATTGTCTACATCTTAGGAATGACTTGAAAAGATTTTTACTACGTACTTGGCATTTTTGTTTTGCTACTTTCACAATAAAAAAGAAAAAAATACTCCAGCTGTGAACTTTTTATGCATGTTTCAGATATGTACAGGGGTAGACATGTTAAGACTCTAGGTGAAAAGTGAACCATGCTTTTAAGTCTCAACAGTTATGCTGAAATAGTTATCTGTCCAGTTCAAAAGTTCTGTGAGTTACAGTTGCTATAACTATGAAATTGAATAACAACATTGGAATTATTATAAAGTGCAACTTAAACTTGTGAATATGTCATAATGTATAATGATTGTCCTATAGTCCTTATTAAATGAGGTAGTGTTTTAATCATTAAACATTCTTAGCTATCCGAATATTAGAGAGATTTAAGATAGATCAAGATTTCCAGAAGATAACAGAATTTATGTATAATCACTTTTGTCCTGAGCCATGCTTGAATCCTAGAAGGGAACCATCATTCTCCAAGTCTGAATCTGGGTTTTCATCGATGTCCAGTTCATGGCTAAACAAAGAAACAAAAGGTAAATGGTGGTAAGCTAATACCCATATGGTCAGTTCAGGCAAATATCAAAAGGTACCTATGGTCATGTGAATAACTTATCACAACTAATGATAAGTCAAATCCAGAAAGGCAAGTGAGAGTCCCTGAAATGGTATTTTCCAAACTGCATATAGTATCTAGTATTTAGAAAACAGTAACAAGCCATGTCATATCTTAAGCTACTGAACATGGTACAAATATTCTCCATTTTCCTTTGGAAAAACAAAACCATTAAAAGTTGTATCCTTAGGCCCTCCCTGGTGGCGCAGGGGGTTAAAGCACTGCACTAAGAAGCTTAAGCCACTTCCACATGAGTTCGATTCCCGCCTGCCCTGGAGGAGATCCACATGGCGAGGCAGACCTCTCCTGACCTGCCCGCTGCTCCCCTCAGCAGTGTACTTTGTCAATCTGCCTGTTCTGCTCCCCACTCTGTCTCTGGTGAATCCTCTCACCCTCCGTATCTCTGGCCTGTACCCCAGTTCTGTATGAATAAATAAATAAATCTTAAAAAAAAAAAAAAGTTCTATCCTTAAACTAACTGCCTAGACTGACATAGCTAGAAGTTTTCCTTAAAATCAAGTAAGGAAACATTCAAGAAGTTATCAACTCGATCAAAAAAATTACAGAAGGAAAAATACTGTAAGGAAGAATAAGGTTGTAAAACAAGTGATATTAAATAACATGGGATCATCTATCTATTGGGATGCTGTCTAGTTGTCTCTAAACTATCTGGGCGACAGCACCAAATAAACAAAAACGGTGAAAAATAGCTTTTATGAATTAAGCTAAATGCTCTAAACATTTATGGAGTATCTACAAAGGTCCCAGGGATATATGTACATACATAGTCTCTGCCTTAGGAACTAAGGGAAGAGTTTACAAGCAATGTCTACCATGTAGAAGGAACATAGTATAGATGTGCTTTTAAATATTATGTTACTACACTTCCAAATCTTGCTCACAGTTTTGGGAAGCTATAGGAAATGAAAGTCTTATAGAAGCACTTTGTATTCTGTCAGAGAAATAAAACATTTCCCTAATGTCTAAATTCTTTAATGTCGATCCCCATCTTCTATTTTACAGCGTGAGCATGTGAACATATTGTACCTTACATTATTCTCTATTTGCTGCTCCATATGTATCAATACTAGAAAGAACACTGTCTTCCAAAGTCTGGTCTAAGGCTTGTAACTCTTGGTAAGGCACTTAACCATTTTTTTTTAAATTAGTATTTCTATCTATAGAATGAGATTATTAGAAGTGAAATTCTGTGATTAATCAAAACTTTTGAAAAAATTAGAGTTTTCATGAAATACCTATTTATTAAACAGTATTAATTAAAACTTATCATCTATTGATAGCTCTAAGTTCCAGTCTTCCCAATGATCTCACACAAAAAGGGCATCAATTCTATCTTATAGATGAGCAATTGTGGCAGAATAAGAGGTACAATTAGGAGTGATCATGTTCCAAAGTGCAGTCTTCCCAGTATGTCCTCTCTCTCTCTCTCTCTCTCTCTCACAAGATTAGCAATATTTTAATTTAACAAGTACTTTCTAAATACTCACAGACACATCGGCTTATGCTAATTCATTCTGGAGAGAGAGGTAACATGCAACTTGCCTTCTTTTGAGTTTACTGGGCTTATGTTCAGGTGGATCTTCTTCACTCTCATCTCCATCAACACTGCTGGAGTGTGTTTTTTCTTTGATTGTATTTGCTTTTGAAGTTTCCTGCAAATCTAAAGAGGCAGAGGTACTGTAGTAGATTTCTCCCTTTGGTTTGGCAACTCTTCTGCCATTTGCATAGGCAATCAAAATATTTCAGTGCTTTTCCTGCAGTGAACTGTATGTGGTATGTCAAAGTGTCAAACCACATCTACCTATTAATTACCCACCTGCACAGATGAAGAATAAAATAAATGTAGCAATGTTCAAAACACTGCAGACAAGCATGCTTTATCTTTCAAAGTTCTCCTTCCCCTATGAAGAGAAATTAAGGACCTTCTCAGAAATTTACTACTACTAACCCTCAACTCCAAGATATATTAGAAGAGCAATGGGAACTGAACAAGGTACTGAAACAACAAAATAGCAATAACAGACTTCCACCTATCAATAATCACCCCCAATGTTAAGGGACTGAACTCACTGGTCAACAGATTTAGAGTAACATGTTGGGTTAGAAAACAAAATCCAACCTTCTGCTGCCTCCAGGAAATACAACTAGGTTCCAAAGATGAGCTTAGATTCAAAGTAAAGGATTAGAAAACAATTCTATAAGCAAATGGCCCCTAAAAGAAGACAGGAACAGCCATATTTGGGTAAAATGGACTTCAAACTAAAAAAGTAACAAGACGTAGATGGTCACTATATAATGATCAAGACAATAACACTCCAGGAAGGCATACTACTCATAAATCCAGGAAGACATACTACTCATAAATATATACTCAACAAGTGAAAGAACCTCAATGAACATTAGACAATTGCCATAATCTCTGAAAACAAGACAATGGAAAAATACATATATAATAGGAGACTTCAACACCCCATTCTCATCAACAGAGAGATCAACAGGACACACAAATAAACAAGGACACAATGGCCCTAAGTAGGGATCTAGAACACATGGGCCTAACAGACAGATGTCACAAGGCACTTCCCAAAATCCAAATATACGTTTTTGTCAAGTGCACATAGATCATTCTCCAGAACTTACCACATACTGGGCCACAAGACAAATGAGTAGTATGCAGACTGAAATAATACTAAGTTTCTTCTTTGACCAAAAAGGAATTAAACTAGAAATCAGCTATGAATAAAAGGCTAGGCAGTGCCCTACTACATGGAGACTGAACAATATGTTAATGAAAGACTACTGGATTAATGAGAAAAATAAATATGAGATGAATGACAATGAGGACACACCTTCCAGAATGTGTGGGACATAGCAAAAGCATTTCTAAGAGAAAGGTACATAGCAATAAGGCTCACATCAAGAAAAATAATAAAGAATCCAAAGAAATAACTTAATGTCCCATCACAAGAAACTCAAAGAACAACAAAAAAAAATCCAAACCAAAAGAAAGGAAATAATAAAAATTAAAGCAGAAATAAATGAAATAGAAATTAAAAAGTCAGGCCCAAAGATGAATGAAACAAGAAGGTTAATGAAAATATCCTCTTATCTAGACTCACAAGGAAAAAAAGAGAGAAAACTCAAACAGAGTAATAAAAGAAAAAAAGGGAGAAATTAGAATAGACACAGTGGAAATCCAGAGGATAATCAGAGATTACGATGAACATTTATATGCAAACAAGCAAATTCTTGGAATTACATAATCACCCCAAGCTGCAGAAAGAAGAAACCTTCCCCCAAATCAAAAGCCCATTACCAGATAGTTTCTCTAGCAAGTTCTACCAAATGTATAGCAATGAACTAATGCCTCCTCTACAAAAATGCTCAAAAAAGTGAAGAAGGAATATTATCAAATGCATTTTATGAAGCCATTACACTAATACCAAAACCAAAGACAACACATACAAAGAAAACACAATCTCTCTAATGAACATAGATCTAAAATCCTCAATAAAGTCTTAGCAAACTAACACAAAATCCATCAAAAAAATTATACACCATGACCAGATGGAGTTTATTATTACAGAAGCACAAAGATGGTTTGACATCCCAAAATGAATTAATGTGATACAGCACATCAACAAAAAGGAAAACCATATATTCTATTAACAGATGCTGAAAAAGCATTTGATAAAGTTCAATATCTATTTGTGAAGAAATTCTTAGGAAAACTAATGATAAAGGGAACATAGCTGAGCATAATAAAAGTCACATATAACAAACCTACAGCAAACATCATTCTCAATGGTGAGAAACCAAAAGTCTTCCCACTAAGGTCTGGAGCATGACAGAATGTCTACTCTCATCAATGCTTTTCAATATATTATTTGCAGGAGATATAATAGTATTTAGAGAGGACCCTAAAAAAAAATCCATGGAAAAACTAATTAAAACAATAAACCAGTTTAGTAAAGTAGTATGTCACATAATCAAGAATGCTATATCATCAGCAAACCAGTTTCAAATTTGAGGAACAAACTGAGATTTTCTTAGACAAACAAAAGTTGAGGAGTTTGTTACCACTAAACCTGCTCTGCACGAAAGGGAATCTGGCATGGTGAAAAGAAGGCACACCAACACCTAGACCATGCGAAGAAACAGGATCGTTAAAGGCAGTATTACTGCAACAACAGTTTGTAACACCACTTTTTGTTTTCTATGTGATTTAAGAAAGTAAAATATATTTAAAAATTATTAGTCTAAAATTTAATATTATTATGACTGATTTTAACTTCATATTTTATTTTTTATATAATTTCAGAGACTAATGAAATTAAATACTGGTTTGTATACTGGGCATATACATTGTACATACATAACTTATGGCTTCAACAATCCAAAGGGTTGGGTAGAGTTGCAAAGAAGCACAATTTCTGTATTTTATTAAAATACCAATAAAAACTTATAAAAAAATTGTAGGTATTTCTATTAAAGTCAGTTTCCAGTTCTAAATATTTAAAAAGTAAAATGCTTTCCTTAGAGATATCCAGATTGACACAAATCAGTCTACAATTTAACCTTTGTGATAGTCATTAGTTATTATATTTTATCAAAATTTTAATTTAAACGACTAACAATAGCATGATTGCATAGAATAAGAAACATTTGTTTCTACCACAACTCTTAAACAAATAATGGAAATACCAGAAAGTAAGTATCAGCACTTGAAAAGATTATTTTTTATTTGTCATGGCTCCATATGAAGCTTGAGTCTTTATTCTTATTTTCAGATTGCAAAAAAGCGTGTGGATGAGGCTGGAGTACAGCAGTGTGTGTTACAGGTTGACAAGGGGGAAGCTGATTATGTGGGCACAGACAATTTCAATAGAATGCCCAACCACAAACAGTAGAAGCAGAAGGTACAAATGCAGTATGTACTCTGTGTTTGACCTAAAAGTGATCAAAACCTACAATTCTCAAATTGATCCCAATGGCAGACACACTGGAGCTAGTTAGAAAATGGTCAATTAAATACACAGCTAAGAATAAGCAACAGAAAAGGTTAATCTCCCTATATAATGTAGGAACCAAGCAATAAAAAGCATAGATAGTAAAATTTACATTGACATAAGAAAAAAGTAGAAGGGAGGAAAATCAAAGAAAAACATGAAGCAGTAGCTAAGGGCTAACAAACACAATGACCAATATACATACTTCAAGTTTAGTGGTCAACAAGTACAAAAAATAGGGTCCTCCCTGGTGGCACAGCAGGTTAAGGCACAGCACTAAGAAGCTGAAGCGAGTTCAATCCCCAGCCCTGGAGGTGACCCACATGGTGCGGCAGACCTCTCCTGACCCGCCCACTGCTCCCCTCAGCAGTGTACTTCATTGATTGGCCTGTTCTGCTTCCCACTCTCACTGCCCCTGCACCCCAGTTCTGTATGCACAAATAAATAACTCTTTAAAAAAAAAAAAAGTACAAAAAATAACCAAGAGAATTATCAGGGCTAATTTAAAATAATCACATTAAAGGATAAAAATAACACCACTCATGAAAGAATGATAACAGCATACTACATTAAGTGCCATTATTAGAGTACAGAGAAAACACAAATAAAAAAGCAGATGGAGTTCTTTAAGAACGCTTTAAAGGAAACTGAACTACATCAAGTAAGATTATTAATCTGAGAAAGCAGAGCAAATCTAATTGTTTAGTAAAAGGCCAACACTTTCTGCTTCATATAGGAATAAGGCTAAGAAGTAGTTCTGATCAACCTGACTTTTCTAAAACTAAATATCAAAATTGTTAAGATACATCTTTTTTTTTGATAGAAGTATAATTTTTATTTCAGTGCAAAAGTCCATTTTTGTTTTTCTAAAAGAAACAGATTTTCACTAAAAACTTAGCCACGATGCATTTTCAAATTATCAAAATACTATTTATTAGAAGCTTAATTTTGATTTCTGGGCAAAAAACCTTTTTCCATTTTGCTAAATGAAACATTTGGATTTCAGGAAATTAAAATGTTATGAAATTTCCCTCCTGTGCCACTCTGCTGGAGTTATCAGTTGGTAGTACCCTCCTTTGTAATAAGAACATTCTTCTATTCACCTTACTCTAACTTCCCCCAAATACCTCTTTACTGGCTTTCTTTATTTCTGGAAGTGGTATCAGTCTGCATGATGAGGCTGTTTTGTTTTTAAATCCGCTTAGGCAGGAGTCAACAAAGTTCCTACCTTGGATATTTTTTTTTTTAAAGATTTATTTATTTATTCATATAGAACTGGGGTACAGGCCAGAGATGCGGAGGGTGAGAGGATTCACCAGGGACAGAGTGGGGAGCAGAACAGGCAGATCGACGAAGTACACTGCGGAGGGGAGCAGCGGGCGGTCAGGAAAGGTCTGCCTCGCCATGTGGATCTCCTCCCGGGCAGGCAGGGATTGAACTCATGCGGAAGCGGCTTAACATTCTTAGTGCAGTGCTTTAACCCGCTGCGCCACAAGGGAGGGCCATACTACCGTGGATATTTTATGAGAATACAGAATCAATCCTTCCAGTTACAAATTTTCAGGTTCTTTTGAGATTTTCAATAAAGCAAGATTTCACTTGTCCCAAATGAATGCCATGTGAATCAAAATCAGATCTGCAAGATGTCAAATGTGTGCTTCTAATCACTCCCTAACATGTGTTCTTAACTCAGGTGCTCTGGAAAAAAGTTGGGTATTTCAAGCTCAATGTAATTTTAAATTAGATTTAAGGGACTTTAAAGTTTAAATTCATTGGCCACCAAGGTACAACTGGAAGAAATGATACTTTTGATAACTTATGCAATTTTCCCCCCATTTATGTAGAAGGGTAATGAAGAACTTATAATACAAAAAATGAGGTGGGTAAATTAATTCTTCAATTGTACAGTAAAATGTAGTTGGTATGACTTAATTCTACCATAAAGAATGGTATTATTTTGCTAAATAGACTCACTTTGTTAACAATTTTTATTTAGTAGGATAAATCTTGGCCAATCTTACCTTGAGAAGATTGGTTTGTGCTTTTATTCCTGGACAAGCTGTTTTCCTTGGTTCCTCCATTACATGGCTCACTTTGGCCAGAAGCAGGGCATTCTCTTCTGCTGTTAACTTCACATAAACACTGATGTCCATCACAACTTACAGAGGAATCCAATTGGCTCTGTTCTACTTCCTCTGAATTTAGATTTATATTATTCATCCTACCAAGTATTTCACTGTGATCTTTGTCACTTGAATTAGAGCTTTCGCTATCAACTGTAACAGATGGAAAAGAATTTAAGTCTGCTTTCATGCAACTTTCATCTTTCTCATTGTCAGCTTCTGCCTTAGACCCAAGAGAATCTGTGTCACAACTCTGTGAGGCATCAAATGTCCATCCCTGAGCTTCCCAATAATGAAATTGCTCCAAATAATACCAGTACAGTTGACTGTAATGTTGCTCCCACTCTTCCTTTGTTTCAGGTATGTTCCATGGTTCCGAGCACTGTGTTTGATCTGAATGTTTTTCTTGCCAGCTTTGCCACAATAGTCCTCCACCATATTCATTCCAATACTTTTCCCATTTCTCTGTAATCTCTAGTTTTGGAGATAATGCAGTTTCAACAGGAAGCTTTTCAATTTCATTATCTTTTTTAGTTTGAAGTTTGTGTTTGCTGTTGTTCTCACATTGCTTATATGAAGATGGATCATCTGAAGCCAAAACATCATCATCTTCATAGTCCTGCCTCCAAGATTCCCTTATAATTTCATCCAAGTACTTTTTCTGATGTTTTTTCTTTTTCTTTTTATTTTTAACTTTATTTCTAGTATTCATAGACACCTAAATAAGATAAATAACTTGAATGTAAAATGTACTTCATAAGCAATTAGAGAAAACAATCTATTTTGACATTCAACAAAAACTCATACACCCTGAGCCTTTATACAAATCTTACGAAGTTTCCAAGAGGAAAAGAAAATTTACATATGAACACATCACAGCTTAGTTTTGGTTAATTTATAAATACATATATTTAAAGAGATCATATGCTCTAATTCATGAATGCATTAGATTGAGGTAAGAAAAATTTCAGTGTGGTATTTTATGAAAAAAAAAAAAAATAAAACAAAAACTAAGACACAGAAATAATAAAATTCTTACCTCAAAATTCTTATGGGCAGATGTTCCACCAAACTGAAGGGGCAGTCCCATACTTCTCATGAGTTCAGCCTCAGAATCAAGTTCATTTTCATCTTGATTGAGGTCCTTGCTGTTATATGATTCTACAGTGTTAGTGGAAGGACTGTCATCCTCCTCATCTGTAGCTTGGTCTCCTACAGGTAATGTTTATTTAGTTTAGTTTCAGGGGATATTTAGACACAGGTTTTAGCATTCATTTTAAAGAACCTCAGACCGAGAGTAATTCCGACTTGTTCAAAGGGAAGATATGCAAAGGTTACAGTTTTTGAGGGGACGAATAAAAATAGGACAAATGGAAATGGATGGAAACATGAAATAGTAAAAGAATAGCCAATAAAATTCAAGAGACAACTTCTAGCCAGGCTCTGCCTGCCACTATCCATCTAGCTTCCATTCAATTTATGTTTACCGGTTGTCTTCTCTGTGCTGAGCACCGGACAAAACAGTGAGGACACAAGAGGGAACATGGCAGAATTATCACAGGAAAATGCTTAAAATCTTTACATTTGTTAGCTGCAAAATTACTGAACTAGATAGATGGCTGTAAAAATGCTGATCTGCAGTGTTACCATAGCAATTGTTAATAACAGAAATGAGAAGTACATCTTCAGCCTTTCACAGGCATCTTAACAACAAGTGGGATTTATACTCTGGGCTCTGTGGGAAGACTGAATTAATTCAAGGGCTCTGCTATTAAAAGTTTGAAATCCACCAAGATGGAAGATCCTTTTAAGGTCCCTGAATCTAGGTCTTACAGAAAACCTGTTTTCGTATAACAAGTTTTATTTTATTCTCAACATGTTTATTTAAAGGCAGCTCATTCCACTAACTGGAGACATGTCATTTAAATGCTTTATTAACTGTTTAAAAACCTCAATTTTCTCTATTAGGATTCTCAATTAGGATTGAGCTGTACAGCACCTAAATGATCTTGCAACAGAGCAGTGAAAACAGTAAATATAATGATCGAAAGACAAATCTTAACTGTACACATTATACTAAGAGGGAAATTAGGTATTTATCTAAATAATAAAGGGGATTCAATTAATCTTTCTAGTCAATTAACTTTTACAGCTCAGGAGAGCAAATCAAGGAAAATAAATCAGTTAAATTTTATATTCCTCTTTCATGAGAGGAATATTTTCTTGTGTTTGGTGAGAGCCTAGTATCCAAATAAATCTTTTGTACAACATAATATTGAATTACAAGCACATTTTGTCCAGTGCTCAACTGAAAAAACGGTGATTTATTCCATCAATGTTACAGTTAAAAAGGTTTTCAAAGGTTTGATATTCTTCACTCATGCTGGGTAATAAACTATAACTTATGCTGCTGTTTTTCACATGGCTAGAAAAACATAAAATATCTGTGTGGAAAAGAAATACTGGGTCTGAGGCCTGAGTGACATTAAAATGGCTTTCAGGTAGATAGGTGAAACTTAAAGTACAGAAAATTGTGTCTGTTTCTTGGAAAAATCACCTACATTGCAACCTCTTTACTTCACACAGTAGATAGTGATGTTCACTTAAAAGTTTATACTGAATTATTTTCAAAACAATCATTAAAGTAGTTAAATAAGGAGGCCATTAAGAAATGACTCTAATGCTTTGACAGCCTAATCAGCAAGCCAAAACTCAACTCTGAGTCAGTGAATTGAATCTGAGAAAATGAAAATTTAAAAACAGCCAACTAGACTTTCCCAAAGAAAGCAACTACTTAAACTATGGCAAATCAAATAATTTCCATGTTTTGCTTGTACATTTTCTTTGTAAAAAGGTTTTTCCTTAGTTTCTGTCAATGGAACATTCCTTAACCACCTTTGATTTGGTACTTTATGATGTAAGTTGTATGTGCAGATAAACTCTTAAAAAATATTTATATGCCTAAGCTTAACTTTTAAGATAATAAATTACCAAACAAACAAACAAAAAACAACACAAAACCCTGTATGATCTTTACTTTTCAAAATTTTACACCTCAGGTTACACTTATTCAATGGGAATATTACACAGGACAAAGAAGTAAAAATCCACATAGGAGCTACAGGAAAACAAGCTTGGCTTTGATAGAAATGCGCTATCATAAAAAAATAAGGACTGTATGATTACAGGATTATTTTCCATTTATAATATTTTATCCTGGGCCCTTCCTGGTGGCACAACAGGTTAGGTCACAGCACTGCAAGTTGGCTGCAGTCACTTCAGTGTGAGTTCAATCCCCAGTCCCGGAGGTGACCCACATGACGTGGCAGATCTCTCCTGACCCGCCCACTGCTCCCCTCTGCAGTGTATACTTCGTTAACCTGTCCTGCTCCCCACTCTGTCTCTGGTGAAGCCTCTCACGGCCCTTACACCTCTGGCTTGTACCCCAGTTCTGTATGCACAAATAAATAATTAAAAAAAAAATCTTATTATTTTATCCTAACAAATTAATACAGTAATAGTTAACTTTAGCAAAAAAGAATTATTTTACACAGAATTACCTGTGATGTTGTTTCCTTTGACATAATAGCCTTTTAAGCCCAAATTGCATAGTTTTCGATCTCTGTGAAGCAAATGAAACAGTCAGTCTTGAAAAAAAAAATAATTAAACTATATGTTTACAGGAAAAACAAGTTCAAGGCAACATAGACTCATACAAAAATTTAAAGAACTGAAAAGCAATTTGCTTATTCACTTTCTTCACCTGCACTAAAGAGATAATAATACATCTCATGGGGTTTTTATCAGGATTGACAGCATATACTATAAAGTATTTTATACATAACACAAGGCAAGCTTTTATAATTGTAACTTCTAACAATTAAGTGATAGTTCTGGATATTGGGGGTAGAATCCAATTCTTACAACATAAACAGTGACATGTTCTCTAAATTTGCTGTAAAAAGTGAGGATAGGAGCCCTCCCTGGTGGCGCAGCGGGTTAAAGCACAGCACTGAGAATCTAAAGCCGCTTCCGCATGAGTTCGATTCCCGCCTGCCCTGGAGGTGACCACATGGCGTGGCAGACCTCTCCTGACCCGCCCACTGCTCCTCTCAGCAGTGTACTTCATCGATCTGCCTGTTCTGCTCCCCACTCTGTCTCTGGTGAAGCCTCTCGCCGCCCCTGAGCCTCTGGCCTGTACCCTAGTTCTGTATGCACAAATAAATAAATCTTTAAAAAAAAAAAAAAAGTGAGGATAAAAGTGGAAAAACTTATTTTACACATCTAGAAATCTATATGCAGACCCTAGTCTGTTTATATACAAGTAATCTATTATTTGCTGATATTCATGAGCCAAGCAAAGACTGTTTTGGAGACTAATATACAATAAAGTTCTTACTGAAATATTTAATCACATTGAAACATAAATCAAAACAAAACAGTGCAATCTCTATGACTTATAAAAAACAATGAATAGCTGAACTTTTCTTAACATTCCTACTTCTAAACTTTTTCTTTATGTACTAACATTAGAAATTAAGTAACTAAAATAAACATAGGAGATCACTTTTTAAAAAAGGTATACTTATTACTATCTTTCTGCTGGCATATTCAACTGCAATAAACTTCATCATAACTGCCATTAATAAGGCCATCTGCAGTACAGCTAATAAGGGGAAGGGTGTCCTAAAGGAACTCTGCAGAGTTTTGTGGACTCCACCCCCTACTCCAGCTTTCTGGACTCCATTCTCTACTCCAGTGATTGGAAACTACAACTCCCAGCAGTACGAAGAAGAGAACTGTGAGGACCCAAGGGCGGAGCTAAGCAGGCATTCTGGGACTTTGGGGGATAAATAGCGGTTTTGGCAACTGTGGCTCTGGGGAGGTTACAGTTCTCTCTTTCTGGAGCAACTGCTCTCAGACCAGGTGACTCAGGGCTAAGAGTTTTAGTCTGTGACTAGAGCTCCAAGTTAATGGAGCTGGTAACATATTCCAGCTACTTTGTATCCCTCTCTCTTTCCCTAGGTTGTTCCTTTTCCTCCCCCCCCCCCTTTATTAAATAAACCCAGAAAATTAAATTTTAAGTGTGCTGGTGAGGACCCACAGACAGGCAGCTCAAGTTCACTATGGGCTACCCTGTAACAATACCACTGTTCTAGTGAAATTACAATAACTTTAACAATATAAAATTCTTATGTACTTAATGTTATTTCATATTCTCCTACATATTTTTTTATACCTTATAAAACATGAAGTGGTGACTCATAGCAGGACAGTGAACTGGGGAGAGATCAAGTACAAGAGTGACCTGGTAGTATGCCAAATGGCTCCCAAGAAGATGGGATAAGAGAGGTAGTGAGTACATGTGGTGGGTGGAGGTAGTAGTGAGAGCAGCAGCCACATAAGCCCTCAAAAGAGTGCCCACCAGCATCCAAGAATATGGGGCATGAGGGTTTTAAGTGGTGCATGCAGCCAATGAGATTCCAAGATTGGTTATACTGAGCAAATAAATAAATGTATTAAGGATAATGATAACCAAGATTCTCTTACACACATACTGCCTATTGTGAGAAAATACAGGAGTAATAGGCACAAGGAATACTCAGGTCTTGGTCCTTACTAAAAGGAACCAGGGTACCTTGGAAATAGAGTGGTTCTAACTTGAAGCACAAATTATAGAAGATAAGCCTGGGTGATCATATGCCAGAACAGGTAGAGCCTGAAGAATACCAGGGGCATATATCTAAAGAAAAAGTATAGAAGTTATTTTGAGAAGTCTCCACAAGCCTCATCTGTGACAGTATAAATACAAAAACAGAAAAAATAGAACACAATACATCAGTAAACTAAGAATCCATAGTCCACGTTAATATAAAGGAGCAAACAAATCCACAAGGAGAGAAGGAAAAGTACTCCACAGAGAATGCCAACTAAGGAGTATAGAAGGAATGATGGAGACAAAATCTTTGGTAACTTTCAGAGGTAGTGCATTCAGGCAGGAAAATGATTTTCTTTTACATTTATTTACTAATGCATATAAGAATTGGGGTGTAGGCCAGAGGTACGGGGGCAGGGGAGCGTGAGAGGACCCACCAGAGACAGAGTGGAAAGCAAAACAAGCAGATCCACTGAAATATACTGCTGAGGGATGTAATGGGTTAGACTGGAGAGGTCCGCTCACCATGTGTGCCAGCTCCCTGGCAGAGCTGGGGATGGAATTCTTCCTGCAGTGGCCAGCAGCAGCTTGACAGCTGTATCTCCAACCCCAGCGCCACAGGGAAGCCCCCAAAAGATTCTTAACAATATAATACTTCCTCTCAAAATACTATGAATACAAGGGGACCGTTGTGACTTTACAGTGGAGAAGACTGGGAGATAGCAAAATGACTAGGCAATGGAGTTCAGAATCAATAGTGCTGGGATGGATCTACTTAAAGTGTCCTCTGATACAGAATTGAACACAGGATCATTTCTGTGGCATTCCTGACAAGACTGTATGGCCCAACTACGTTCCTGTTGAGAGGTCACAAAGACCTAAGTTAAATCATTCTACAGAAGGTACAATCTGTATCTTGCATATTTCTGAGGGCATGAAAAGAGTGAGAAATTTTTCCAGAGACTGACAAGACCTAATAAGTAAATATAGGAGGTTCATTCCTATATGGAACCTTGACTCAGAAAAGAAAAAGAAAAAAAAAAAACCACTTTGGGAAAGCTGGGGAAATTTTAATTTGAATCTACTACAGTGGTTATGAATTGTGCAGGTGTATGAAAAGGGAAAGATGGAGTCAATGTGATTAGCTGCTAAAACTGAGTATCTGAGAGGAATATGGTTTTTTTGAACTACTATCCTGTAAGTTTGAAATTATTTCAAAATGAATAATTTAAAAATAATTAAGCCTGCTACTTATAGCATAATCAAATTTATAAGAACAATCTGTTACTCCATTCCAGCATTTTCCTGTATTTTATACAGAAGCACACAAAATTTTCATATAGTAGTAATCATAATGTATTTTACATTCTAATATTAATTAACACAAAGACTTTTTCATGTCACTATGAAATCACTGTATGATTACTTTTAAGAGCTCCACAATATTGTAGTTCTGTCTTCTCTCTCCAGGTTAAGTATAGAAACTTGTATGTGTAGATGAAACAGAATTACTACTCTAATTATAGAATTCATAAAACAGGGCATTCATGAATACCTCCAGCAAATAAAAATCACAGTATAAATAATGCTGGTATGAGAATCAACTCCTAATTATTGAGAAGTTATCCGACTCCTTTGCTATTTGTCCATTATCTATGGCATTGAATTTGTTATTTCAACAGGTTGCCTGCTGTCCCAAGTTTAGACCATTTAAACCTAGATTTAATAAAAGTATAAAAAGTAAACCCATCTGCACAGAATGGCTCAAGTTTTTAAAACTAGACTTCTCCAGAGCTCCAAACCGTACAGACACCTATTCCAAAATCAAAATGCACAGGTACATGTATTTCAAAATCAAAATGGACAAATATTCTTTTTGCCACCTACCGAACTAAAACCCCATGCTTCTATAAAGATCCCTATCTCAGCGAAAGGTATCTATGCAAGAATCCAGGTAGTTACCCTTTCTATTTCCTGTCTTCCTTTCACGCCCGCCCCTCTCTACTCCTATCCAACCCCTTAAATCAATTTCTCTCCTATATTCTACCTTTTCTCCATTGCCCTGCCATCAATCCTAATCCATTATCTGTTGCTTGAAATGATTTTAAATAGCTCTTCCCCAACCAACCACACTGCTGCTAGACTAAGCTTAAAAAGTCAGAATCCAATAACACTTTCTATGTAGCTGCATATTTTCACCTTGCCTGACCCACCAATCTTAACTTTTCTCTTTCTTTCTCTCTTTTTGTTTCAGTTTTAAGGACTTTCCTTTGCTACCTCAAGGAATGCTTCCTCCCACTCAAATTTATCCCAGGTTTAGTCCACTGAACCTTTCACACCTCCTTTCAAATGATATTTCTTTCAAGAAATCTTCACTTCCATTACATTTATAATTATTCAAATAATTCTTTAATAGCTGTCAACACTAATCTTTACCAGAGAGTAAACTCAAAGCGTGTAGGGGTCAGCTTTGGTTTGTAGACCAAAGACTATCCATATATAGCACAAAAGACTGGAAGAATACATGCATGCACGCTAGCAAGACAATCTTTTTTACATTAAACTGCATTTAACTTAATTTTGAATAATTTTTGATTACTCAATAAAAACACATTGAAAAAGAATCCCTTCAAACAAATTCAACTACATCGAACTGTGTTAAAAGTATCACATAAAATTCACTTCCACAGTGGAATCTACAATAAACCTGTTTTAGGAGTGAATATAATAAATGGCTGAACTCACAGACCTAATAAGAGTATAAAGATGCCATCTCTAGAATCCAATTTTTTGGTTAGTTTTTCCTTACCCACTAGCTTTCTTCCAGGCAGGTCATTTTCACTCAAAAAAGTATTTTTCCATCTCCAAAACAGAGGGCTCAAAAAGTGATGAAACTATAGCCAAATTTTCAGTCTCAGATAAAGTTCTACTGTGTGTACTTGTACTTTAGTGAATCTTAAAACTTAACTAACACAAGTCACTCATCTTTAAATGTTAACCTTCTAAGGTCACACCCATCAGATTTTACATCTCACTTCCCCCAACTTTTTTTTAATACAATAGTTTATTTTTACACTATTTTGTGCCTTTTTCCATCTCAGTTTTAATCCCCATGGGCTTGCTATCACTAAATCACCCGTGTGCCATCACCACAGTCCAGTGCACTCCCCTCTACCACATTTTTGATCCCATTCCCACTCTACCCCTGTAAAATGTCTCTGACATACAGTTTTTCACTATTATTATTTTTTCTACCCTGGTCCTTTTACTCCTGCTATGAGTGAAAACATCCCGAATTTTTCCTTTTCTTTCCGGTTTATTTCACTAAGCATGATCCCTTCCAGCTGCATCCATGTTGCTGCAAAAGGCTTGCCTGTTATCTTTTTTGATTGCTGAGTAATATTCCATTAGATATATGTGCCACATCTTTTTAATCCAGTCATCTACTTTTGGGCATGGGGTTGATTCCATGTCTTTCCTATTGTAAATAAAGCAGCAATAAATATGGAAATTTCTCCCAAATTTTAAGCGTCCCCCCCATTTATAAATGTAACATATATCAGCTACCAGTTTTTTCCTAACAGTCTTACAGAGACACACTCGTTCACTAAATAGCGAGTAGGGGATCACCCTGTAAAGTTGGAAGGCTTTTTTTTTTTAGAACTTTTTCTTGGCCATCACTTGCTCAAGGGTCAGTACAGTCACTGTGGTTTCAGAGACCAATTACATCTAGTTTGTAACACACTTCTGAGATAGAATGACGAACACGTTTTTACTTACTCCACGAACGCCCTAGAGCAGAGGCAAAGGATCTTACAATCCTCCCCCAGGTCCTCAATGAAGAGAAACATTTCCGCCACGCGGCTCCACTTCTCGCAGCACATTTTCCCACTTCAGAGGCGACAACCTCGTCCTAAATAGCAGGGACCCGGCGTCCGGGCTCGCTCACCGAAGACCGAACGGAGATCTCGACGCGCGCCAGTGGGGTGAGGAACGGGCCCGGGGCAGCTCGAGCCGAGAGGTAACTGGGGAGCCACCACCGGAAGTGGTTCCTGGAGGCCACAGGAAAAGGCGGGGCGACCGGTGGTGTCACACTCAACAAGGCTCGGCTTGCAGCCGCCTTTTGGTGATTGTTTTATTTTTTTCTCTGACCCGGAGGGGCAGGCGCTCAAGTTTCACCGCATCCGTCGGTGGTTGAGCCACTGGAGAGCTTCGTTGAACCATCGGAGAGCTCCGTCGCTGCTCGAGAGTGACGGCGAGCGGCCCCTGCATCCTCCCGTCACAGGTGCGTCGGTCCCCAACTGTAGCTTTCCCGCGCTGTTCATCGCCCTTAGGCGCGTCTGTCTCAGGGCGCTGGGAGCGGCTATGGCCGCAGTCTAGTCTTCCCAGCGCCCCCACTGGAATCCCGCATCCGGGCGGGCGGCGGCCTGGGGCATCGGGGTGTCGGGAGGGGAGGACCTGCCTTGGTCACAACGAGCTGGTTCAAACCTAGTATCTGTAAAAGAGAAGGGAAATTATTTGGCGATCTCTAAAATGAAGTTGAGAGGCTGCACTGGTATTCAAGTCCCAACACATCAGACTTGGAATTCTGTGTGATCCGGCCAAGTGATTTAACTAACCTCATTGTGATCATTTATACAGTGGGAACGTTTAGTACCTACTTCCTACTGCTGCTGAGAGGACTAGCTATTATCAGACCTGAAACCAGCTATATCAGACCTTTAATTTGTGCTATTAATGCTTTTGAGTCGTTAGACTTTGTAGACGCCAGGCACTGACTCTGTCCGAAGTTTTTGCACCCTGTAAAACAGCTCTCTTCCCTCAAGCTTCTCATTAACCAGAAAACTACATGCGAACGTAACCCAAGTGTCGAAAACGAAAACAGTTCTGTTAGTTTGAAAAAAGCAGAAAGTGTGTGGTATCCGCTGAAACTGCCCGGGCTGCTTCTTCAAAGAAGCATGTTTTGAAGTTGTTGCAGCACTTTAGGACTTCGTTTGTGCTGTTAATGCTGAAATGCCGTTGAAAAAATTTGGTATTTCCTTAAAAAAATATAAAAACAAATAAAATTCAGTTCCCTTAATATTTTGGCTGCAAATACTAGTGGGTGGAAGTAGAAGATTAATTTGCAAATGAAATGTTAATTCCTACATCTTTACTTTGCTGTCAGAGATATGCTCATTTTAATATGCTCATTTTAGTGACTCAAGAAGGTAAGAATGTTACAAAGTTATAGATACTCCAGTAAAGATATGCAACACTTTGGGGATGACGCTAAATTAAGAAAATAAGGAGGTAACAATAATTGTCAAACCCAGTGGGAGATCATAGCTAAAAGTTGGGGGACAGTCTAAGATTAAAAAAAAAAAAAAAGGAAACCTTGAAAGATAATTCCTGTCAAAACCTACATTTGGGACTTACTTTGTGATGTTAAAGAGATTGAAGTCCCAGCACTATCAAGTTCTCACCAGTCACCACTACATGAGTTCTAGCACTTCTGGCCTACACCCCAGTTTTTGTATGCATAAAAAGATGTATTTGTTTTTTTAAACCCTACAGTTTGAAGCTTGAAATCAAAAAGTTATTGTTTTGAAGTTAAAACGATTGGGTTTGTCAGATAACCTAACTGAAGTACTAGATGGACTTTTAATTTTATTGATTGCTTGAAGTAGAACTGTTTAATCAGCCAAACTTAGTACTAAACCCTGTTAAACATTATTAAAAAATGCAAAAAGAAAAAAGGAAAATTAATTTGTAGTTCAGTGAGTATTTTTTTTTAAGGATTTATTTATGCTTACAGAACTGGGGTACAGGCCAGAGGTGTGGTGGGTGAGAAGATTCACCAGAGACAGAGTGGGGAGCAGAACAGGCAGGTTGACAAATACACTGCTGAGGAGAGCAGCAGGCAGGAGAGGTTTGCGGTGCCTTGTGGGTCAGCTCCCTGGCAGGGGATCCAACTCTTGTTTCAGTGGCATCTGAGAGCTTGATAATGTAGTTCTTTCACGGGTTGCGCCACCAGGGGGAGCCCTCAGTGACTTTTTTTTTTTTTAAAGATTTATTTATTTGTGCATACAGAACTGGGGTACAGGCCAGAGGCTCAGGGGCGGCGAGAGGCTTCACCAGAGACAAAGTGGGGAGCAGAACAGGCAGACTGTCGAGGTACACTGCTGAGGGGAGCGGCGGGCGGGTCAGGAGAGGTCTGCCACGCCATGTGGTCACCTCCGGGGCAGGCGGGAATCGAACTCATGCGGAATCGGCTTTAGATTCTCAGTGCTGTGCTTTAACCCGCTGCGCCACCAGGGAGGGCCCCCTCAGTGACTTTTTTAATGGACATTTTCACAATATGGTCAGTCTGACAAACTAAAAGTAAGAAATGGATCTCCTGTCATCCTTGATAATAACATTACTGGTGATGGGGTTTAACTATACTTTCTTTCTGAGGCTACCAGAGGAGGACAGAGGACAGCAGGAATAAAGTGGGGAAGGAGCACAAAGGACTGGGGATAAACTGGGTGCTTTTGATAGCGTTTGTGGTATAGTAACAACACCTGAGGGGCAAGTTCCTATACCTCTAAAACAAACAACATTGTTAACCAGTGTTACCTCAATAATAACTTAAAAAATAATGAAATAAAAAGCTTTATTTCTTTAAGGTTTCATGGAAAGCCAGGAAAAAAAAAAAAACTCCACTGTTCTGATTTATTCGTTTTTCAGGTATTCTGATTTTAGACAACTAAAAATTCAATTTTACTAAATACTTATCATCATCAACATGGTAGTATTTTGGATTGTCAACTTTGTTTTACAAGTTATGTGAGTTCCAACTGGAAAATTTTAAGATGCTTTATATAAGATATATATAGGGCTGTGGATATTTTTTGGGATAGGGAATAACCTGGAATTTTGTTAAGTAAAACATACTTGACAAATAATATCTTTTAAGAAATGTAGCTTTAAAATAAAGTGGTAAGGAGTCCAGTATAGCCTAAGGGGGCAAGAGGGTTCCGAAGAAGTAGAAGAGTTGGATTCTTAATACTCTCAGCTTCACTATCAAAGAGATTAAGGAAAGTACAATGGAAGTAAGAATAGGAGTAGAAACTGGGTCTTAATTTTGGCTCTCGGTTATTTGCCTAATTAAATTAGTAACTTTGAACATGTCTCCTTGGCTTCCTGTGTCTAAGTTGTTTTCTACATAATTAAAAGGTTATATTCATTGAAATTTTCAGCCATTTTCTTATATTATCAATTGTAAGTATTACATTGTTGTTCAAACTCTTCTGATCAATCTCCGTTGGCAAACTTTAGGACACTGTCTTGGTTCACATTTTTGTCATAGATTTAGAAGAACACAGTTCAGATCTTGGTCAGGTATCTAAGATGTGCCAGGCATAATTCTAAGTGTGTTAACTTACGTTTACTCATCATTTTATCTACTGATTTATCCCCAGTGTTTGGAATAATTTTGAGGACAAACTACTATTGTAGTATTTCACAGAATAAATAAATGATTAATCCAAGAAGTAGGACTCCTTCCCCCTCTGTAACACGCCATCTGTTATCCCCTTTCTTTTTTGAAAGAAAATATAGTTAAACCCCATCACCAGTAATGTTATTATCAAGGATGACAGGAGATCCATTTCTTACTTTTAGTTTATCAGACTGACCATATTGTGAAAATGTCTATTAAAAAATAGTCACTGAGGGCTCCCCCTGGTGGCACAACCCGTGGAAGAACCACATTATCAAGCTCTCAGATGCCACTGAAACAAGAGTTGGATCTCCTGCCAGGGAGCTGACCCACAAGGCACCGCAGAACTCTCCTGCCTGCTGCTCTCCTCAGCAGTGTACTTGTCAACCTGCCTGTTCTGCTCCCCACTCTGTCTCTGGTGAATCCTCTCACCCACCACACCTCTGTGTGGCTCCGTGAATTATCTTCTGCGCTGTATCATCCATTTCTTACTATCCCATTAATGCATTATCACTCGCATTAAATGCTGATTTATTTTCTTTCATCTTAAAGCAACAACAAATGACCCACATTCCCCTCTAGATACCCACCTGCTTCTCTACTGTACCTTTTTTGTATGTGTATTCCTCTGAAGGAGAAATGTGTTTCCAATTCATTTCTTCTCATTCTTTCTTGTATTTCCCTACCTAAATTTCATCCCTCTACATCAAAACGGTTTTTACCACGGATTCCCAGTGTTGCTGCATTATAAAATCCAGTGGTCAGTTAAATTCATTACTGCACTAAGGTCAGCAACATTGAAATCACTGGTTGATTATTTCTTCCTTCTTCAAACACTCTTATTTTGACACCTAAGATGTGATTTCTGGAAGGGGATGCTGGTTTCTTCTTGTTCACCAACTTCTATAATATTGAGTGCTCCAAGGCTCAGTTCAAGAAAATCTGTTTATACTTTATTTACATCCTAAAAGTATCTTCTTAAGTTTCATGGTTTTTAATACTGTATATGTCAATTCCTGTATGTGGGCTTTATTTTTCTAGGTCTGACCTTCCTGCTGAACTCTGCTTATGTCCACTTGTCTATTTAGTGCCTTTACTAGAACAGACTCTTAAACTTCATGTACACAGAACACATCCTACCTCCAAAGTTCTTCTTCCTGCAGCTTCATCTTTGTATGGTCAAATTGATGATGATAGCAGTATTTACTCTGCTTATGTAATAGAAACTACTCCTTTAAGTTTTTTTTTTTTTTTAAGTTTTTTAATGTACAGTTTTCATGACAGTTTCTTAAATAGGTCTTGTTACTCTTCTCATTTTACAGATAAGGAAACTGAGACAGAGATGTGAAGTAACTTGTCTGGGTCATAGAGGTAGGTAACTTGCCCATGATATAAACCCTTGTTGCTAAAAACATGGAGTCATCTCAAACATGTTTCTCATTCACATTCTGCACCTGTTCAGCAAGTCCTGTTGGTTTTATCTTCAAAATATATCCGGAAACCAATCTCATCATTCCACCTTCTCTTTGCTACATCTGTCCAAATCACTTTAATTACTCATCTCCATTACATATATATAGCTGTAGCTTCTATTTGCTCCCTGTACAGCATATTCTCCATATAGCAGTTCTTTAAAACCATGTCAGGCAGTTTTATCCTTTTGCTCAAAACTTCACACCTCTATCTCACTTAGATAAAGTTGTTTTACAAGTATTGTAGTGTTACTTCTATACCCATTTCTGATTGCTCTCCCTGTCTTTCTCAGCCTGCCTACCTGGCTGCTTCCGAAACCATATGGTGTACTTGCTGTTTTTTTAGCTAGAAAATTTCTCCGAAATATCCACATGACTTGCTTCCTCACTTAGGTCTCTGATTAAATTTCAGAGTGACTTCCCAAACTACTCTATGTAACATAACAATATCTTCCCCCCTTGCCTGCTAAAGAACTTCATAATCCTCTTAGCTTTCTGTATATCTCTCCCCCTACATATTTCTATGGACCTATATATTTGCAAGATAGAGATACTATCGATATAGTGTGGTTATATGTGTGTGTATGAGTATAATATACATAGATTACCTATATCCATGTAGATGCGGTAGTGTTATCCCAATTTATAAATTAGCAATTTGAGGCAGAAGAGTTACTGTTCATGATCATTTCAATATGGCACTTAAGAAATCACCCAATGGACAGGTTTAATGGTATAAAACTAGGTCCAATAGGGAACAGTGAAGTGAGTACTGCAAGTAAATGCTGTTGGTTTCAAAGAAATTAGACTTAAGTCCCCCCCTTTCTAGAAGAACAATACTAATAGCAGTAAGTCAGTTATCGAGATAATTTTGGCATAATGACAATATATATTACTCTTGTTTATCTATCTCCATCTCTTTCATGGGTTCACTTTCTGTCTCATACACAAAGGATTTGAAATGATTGTCATTATTTCTTAGAATATTCTTAGAATAGAAAAGATGGGAATGGAAGATAGAAATCATATGCAGAAGAACATGAACATAAGGGCTATTATAATTGTATCATTAGATAGTATGTTTGTCCCTAGCTTAGTGGTGACACAGAGCTAGTCAGTTATACATCTTTAGTTCATAATTTTTTCTACTGAGAAGCGAAGTTTTTTATAGAGTTTTTAAACTATTCTATGAGGGGTTTTATATAATTTTACTAAACGGTGCACAGAAGTTCCTTACTAGAACAGAAGTGGCAAGACTATTATTTATTTATTTTCCAGCATTTATTAGGTTGAGTGTTTAGGAAAATCAATTATATACCCAGTCAGGCATGAATTGCTGAATGTTCTTGTAATAATTGTCAGTTGTTAAACTGAATGTACAAGAGTATTATTTTTAATAATCAACTAATATGGCTTATTATCATACCCATATCTCTGAATGTCTCATAGTTTGTTTTATGAAAATATTAACTCTAGGTATTAATGATTTTAATCATATTTTTCTCTTATTTGTGTGCTGTGTTTTCCAGAATATATATACTGCAGCTTGGGACAAGATATTTATCTGATTCCTGATAAGTTAACAGACTGGTTTAGGGAGTGTGGTCATACTGAAATGATCCTCTTTAAGACTTCCACATGTTTTAGAGACTATAAGATTAAAAATACCTGCATAATGCATAAGAACAAGAGCTTTTCAGAAAATCTACTTATAAAAGATATTATCCAAAAATGTATGCTATCATTACCCCTTTCCTACAGAATTGGGTTACTGTTATTGAGCCAGATACTGTTGTTTTCTTTTGGTAAAAACAGAGTTATCTCAACATTACCTAGCTTAAGATACAATTGTTCAGTATGATCCACTTAGAATATAAGTCATATTATTGAGATCAACTTGAAATTTCATTCTTCATGAGCTTTATTTTCCTCTCCAAGTGAATAGCTTGTCAGTTACTTTAAAAGTTAAAACTGGCATGTTTCATGAACAAAGTAACCTAATAATTTTTGCACTTTAATGTACAAAAAGTTATTAAACAGTTCACTCATTTTTTGGTATTAAAAAATGACTGGTATTTATGTATACTGAAATGTAACTTTTCAGCTGTGAAAGAATAAAATTAAGTTATTTTTTTTTTCTAGTGGCACAATTAAAGACCTGTTATGGCAATAAAGAAAGAGACTGGATTTGTCATTTTCACCTAAAGAAAAATGACCGACAAAAATCAAACCTGTGGTGTGGGACAGGATTCAGTGCCCTATATGACTTGTCTGATTCACATACTGGAACAATGGTTTGGTGTGGAGCAACTGGAGGATTACTTGAATTTTGCAAACTATCTCTTGTGGGTTTTTACGCCACTAATACTTCTAATACTTCCTTATTTTACTATCTTTCTTCTCTACCTTACTATTATTTTCTTACATATTTATAAGAGGAAGAATGTATTAAAAGAAGCCTATTCTCATAATTTGTGGGATGGTGCAAGGAAGACAGTGGCAACTTTATGGGATGGACATGCAGCAGTTTGGCATGGTAAGCAAGATTGCTTTGATCTGTGTCTATAACATGGCATCATTACATATTGTTGATTGAGTTGATACTAAATTATATAATGGAAAGACTATTTCCTACTACCTGTTTGTATGCATTGTGCATATTTATACCCTTTTAAAATGATTTCTTCCAAACACATTAGTTATATACCAAACAAAGGAAAACATAACATTGTAGACTATTACTCTACGGGAAACCATAAAAATTGATATTTCAGGTGTGTAAAGGAGTGAAAGTCTAAGTAAAACTCTATAGAAAACTATTTTAAAATTCTTTACTTAGCACTTTCATTTTTAAAAAAATATGCTTGACTTTCTCATCATAGAGATTTTGAAAAAATGTAATACTAAATTCAGTATAATTTATATACTACAGTTTGCCCATTTTTGTTTTGATTTGTTTGAGAGGTCATAATGTCTTCTGAATAAATGAGTGATAGTAGTTTTTATCCAGGATGTTCATTCTTTTTTATGTTATTTGAGAGATTGTGATGTTGCTCTCTTAGTGATTGGTGGTTGGATCTTCTTCGTTTGACTATTTCATTTGACTATTCTAAAAGTTGCCCTCTAGTGCCTGATTTTTGAGGACTTGGTTTTTTTCTTGACCAATTTTTACTCTGTTATTCTGCCAATACTTTCCTATTTGTTGGTCTTTTTTGTTTTTGACTATACAAAACTACAGAGGATTCAGTAGGAAGGTAACAAAGATGAGCTTTCTATATTATGTTGTTGAGCATCAAACTAATTTTACACAGGACATGGAAGGAAGTACAGACTTTCAAATATGGTATATTTGGTATATTCATCACTGAAGTATAAGGCTGCTATTAGCAAAGCTCACCAGTGACATGCTTACCAGGTTGATACAATTTTAATACTATATCCATTCTTGTATACCTACAAATCTCTTTTTGAACTCTGTGGCATATATTATTAAATGTTTACCATGAATTCTTTTAAACCTCTTAATAACTATATGTATTATTCCATTTTATTGTTAACCCTTGAGAAACGGAGAAAACCAACAGGTTATTTGCCCAAAGTACACTCATCATATTAGGCAGGTAGGAGGAAGAGCTTGGATATAAACTCACATCAGGCTGTAAGGCCTATACTCCTGTGATCTGTACTGATTCTCTGATCTTGGAGATTCAGGGTATATAGCAGTGATACTCAGCAAGAACCAAGTGCCTTTGATGTGTTGATATTCACTCAACAATATTTACTTACTAGTAGAATGCTTTTGCCAATTAATAGGACTCACATACCCTTTGGTGGTGTTTTATATGAATCCTCCCATGGGCGTATATTTGCTGACACTGCACCTATGTTGATTGCTGCTATTCACTGTCTTTAAAAGATAAAAAAATTTAGTGATAATCAGTTGTAATAGTTGTTGAGAATAAATATCCCCCTGTGTCATACCAGGATAATACATCTTGTAGGGATGTCTCTTGAGATGTGATAAATTTGAATATATTCAACACCTAAAATTATTTTATGGCAGGACATATAGTTGGAGGTATTTTGAAATATGCACAGTGGAAACAAAATACATTGTTTACTGTTTAACATTTTTATTATTATAACAATATTACATTAAGGTGATACTTTTTAAAAACTGATTCTTTTACCTTGCTTAGTAATATATAAAGGATTTATGTGCAAGTTTGGATTTTAGTGTTATTTTAAATTTATCATATTGAATACATATATATTGGTGTCATTGATGCCATAATCATATCATGATGGTGTCAGATCAGTTTTAATTCATTTTTCTTTAAGAATTTTTGGAGGAATTTTCTAAATAACAAGACTGTTCATTGTAGAAAATGTGACAAACACAGAAAACTATAAAGAAGGTAATAATAGTCACTTAAAATGTGCCATGCATTTGAATTCTGTAAAGTTGTGGTTTATTTATCATTTTTTATGTATGACAAAATAGTGTTTTTCATGTCACAGAGCATTCTCAGTGATCATTCTTCAGATGACCACATGCAGCTATTGCCTATTGGACCATTTTTTTGTTTGTTTACTATAAATATCTTTACATAAAAAACAATCCAGTGTTTTAAGGATTAAATTTTACCCTCATAACTGTACATACATGTTCTGTGATTTTTTTCAAAAAAAATTCTGATTATTATGTGCTTTGTAATAAAACATCTCTAGTATATCAAGAAACATTAACTTGATATTTATATTTATGCATTTCTAGATAACTGCCTTGGCAATGGGTGAATGAAGTCCCTACTCTCCAAGTTGCTTGCAGGCTTTAAACTATAAAAGTTTTGATTTATATTTCAAAAAACAATATTTCTGGAAAATATGAGTAGTATTTTAAAAAGTCAGGCTCTTCAAGTTTAGTGATTTCCCCTGGAAATGAATCAGAAGTATTTTATTTTTGCAGCTTGTTATGAAAGCCTGTGTTACCTTCAGTGTGTAGATGTGTCATTGTGGTTTGTTTTTGTTTTACAAGCATAGTTATTTCATTGTCTAAAAATGACATTTATGTTTATATAACACTATCCTAGCTGGTTCAATTAATTGGCAATACAAAATTTTCAGAAGATGCAGAAGTTTGACTGTTTGAAACTATTATATGGATTACTGATTTTTATTTTAAAAAATGTACCATAACAGCACAGTTTGTTTTATATCTTATTATTTTTAAAGAAAAAGACACATTTTGTTCACTAAAATTTTCCTATAAAGAATATGTAGCAATTATTTATGGGAAAATTAGATTGCAGTAGCAAGAGACCATCCCCTTTCTAGGTTGGATAAGTTTCCTTTACATATGAGTTGCTCATTTTTCTGCTTTATTTTATTTAACATAGAAAATGCTGGTCATAGCTCACTAAACAATTTTACAGCTTAGTAACAGGTTACCACCAATATTTGAAAGTCACAGCCACAGGTTAGCATGGCTAAATCTGTAGTAGGGGGCGTAGTATTTACTAGGAGCATAGACTGTGGAATCAGGCATATGTAGGTGTACATTCTGGACCCGCCTCTCTGTGACTCTGAGTAAATTATTTGGGCTTTTCTCACTTGAGTTTCCTCATGTGTGGAGGATTTTTATGAGGACTAAATGGGACACAACTATTAGTGATCCAATACAGTGCCTGGCATTCTTTGGGATAAAAATGACTTTTTACAGAGGTGGTAACTTTGGAACAAAACTTTAATGGATGCATAGGAAAACAAGTGAAATATTTTACAGGACTGTATTTGAAAACAAAATGGATAGTTTTGCAAGATAGAAATGATCAAAATTGGTCAATAAGAAAGAAACAAATCAATAATCTTAAATAGGAACAGTGGTCAGTGTCTACCTCTTCTCTTCACAGGGACCAAGCACCCACATTTAGGTTATGCTTTTAAGGAAGAAATAAGTTGCCCATCTTCAAATGTTTCAAAGCATAGAAATAATGTAGAGCTACAGTTTGTTTTCCGGGCAGCATAGCTTTGTTGGCAGAACCAAGGAGAGCACAAACAAGATTTACAGGTCAGTCTTATCTCAAAAATAATTTTATGAAATTCATTATTTATAATAAAAAAATCTGAGCCAAGGAGGTCTCAGGGAATGTATCAGAAATTTTCAACAAACATGGTCCATAAAGGAAAAAATATTAGAACAGTTTCATTAAGTAGGGAACAAGACAAAGATACTCTCATCACAATTGTTTAAAATTGTTGCTAACGTCTTAGAAATTAGTATAAGTATTAGAAAAGACCTGAGAAAGAGCCAAGTGAGTAAACAAAAACTTATCCATACTAAAATGATTGCTTAGTAAAGAAATGAGTATAAGATCAATCAGATTTCATAACAGTTCCTATTTTCATAGGTTTCTAGTAATCATTTTTAAAGTTGAAAAATTCTATTTGAATATAACAACAATAACAACAATAACAAAACCAAAAGAACTTTTGGGGCAACTTTATAGGGTATTAAGATTAAAAAAAAAGATTTAAAGAAGGAATTAGAAAGTCTCAATTCAGGGCAGTGTTACACTACATACTCCCAGGAAGCATTGGTGCAATTCAGACACAAATTTTCACACTACTTCTACATTTCAATGAAAGAGCAAATAAAGAATAACCAAAACATTTGAAAAAGAGTATTTTCCTTCTCATATCAAAGACATTAACTTTATAATGCTTAAAATCTTGGTATTGGTATAAAGGATTACCACAAATAGATCAAACTAATTAGAGTTCAGAAATGTGAATTAGTAAGTGATTTAAAAAAAATAAAAAGTGATAATCCTGGGTTTTCTTGGCAGCCTAGGGGTTAAGCCTCAGTGGTATCACTGGTAGGCCTGAGTTCCATTTCAGGCCGGGGAACTATCCCATGCATGGCACAACAGACCTCTCCTATCTTGCCTCTGCTCCCCTAAACAATGTATTTTAGTAGATCCCACTCTGTCTATGATGAATCCTCTCACTGCCTTCCCCTGCCCCCAACCTCTGGACTATACCCTATTTTTTCTACACAAAAATAAAATCTTTTTTAAAAAGTGATATTCCACATCAGCAGGTAAAGACATAAGAAAATCTTCGATGGTGTCCAAGTAGGGGAGATCTTAAAAAAGACAAAGTTGTTCAAAAAAGGTAACTATCAATAGATGACATATCAAATGATGAGCGAAGGTCACCATAAGGTATTTACAACCTATCTTAGAAAAGAATGAATCAAAAAACATTACAATGACCAGTAGTTAGCCCACTAGTTAGGAAAGGATAAATTGAAATCACATTAAAATATTTTTTACTCTAAGACTGGCAAAAATTTCTTCTGTAAGTGAAGCCATCCAATAGTTTTCTTTTTCCTTTGGCTTATTTCACTGAGCATAATCTTCTACTTCCCATGAGTTTATCTTTTCTAAGCTGAATAGTATACCACATCTGGATCCAATCATCTGATTGGGGGCATTTAAGTTGTTTCCATATTTTAGCTCTTCACTAAAAAGTGCTGCAAAAAGTGCACACATAGGAATGCAGGTTTCCTTTCAAATTAATTTTTTTGATGTCTTGGATAGATTCCTAGGGGTGAAATTGCTAGGTTGAACAGTAGCTCCATTTTTAGTAGCTTGAATGCCTTCCACATGGCTTTCCATAGTGGTTGTACCAGTTTACAGTCTCACCAGCAATGTAAAAGTATTCCCTTTTCTCCATATCTTCCCTGGCATTATTTTGTTTTAAGTGAACTATTCTTACTGGTATAAGGTAGTATTGCATTGTGGTTTTGATTTGCATTTCTGATTTTAAATGATGTTTAGCATCTTTTCATATATCTGTTGGTCATTTGCAGTTCCTCTTTGAAAAAGAGTCTTTTAAGCTCTTTTGCCCATTTCTTGACTGGAATGTTTGTTTTGTTTTTGTTGAATTGTGTAAGCTCTTTGTAGATCTTTGATGTAAGTCCCTATTAGTTGTGCCGAGTGCAAATATTTTCCCCCAATCTGTAGGGTGTCTTTTTGCTCTTTCCATTGTACAAAACAAACATTTTTTTTTAACTTGATATAGTCTCACTTATTTTTGTTGTCGTTTCCCTTGCTTTTGGGGTTGAGTTCCCAAAAGTCTATTGTTGATGTCACAGAATGTACCACCTATGTTTTCTTCTGATTCAGGTCTTTTGTTCAGGTCTTTAATCCATTTGGATTTGTTTTTTGTGTGAAGTTAGAGAGTTACCCAATTTTATTCTTTTACACATGTTCATCCAGTTTTGCTAGCACCATTTGTTGAAATGACTATTTTCTCCATTGTATGGTTATAGCTTTTTTGCCATAAATTAGGTGTAGAAGTAAGTGTGGATCATTTTTTTGGCCTTGATTCTCTTTCACTGACCTATGTGTCTGTTTTTATTCTAATATCACACTCTTTTGAGTGTTATTGTAGTTTAAAATTTGGTAACATAGGTATCTCCAGTTCCCCCCCCCAAAAAAAAAATTGCTTTATTTACTTCGGGTCTTTTGTCATTCCTATAATATAAATTTTTATTTTTTTTAAATTCTATTTCCTTGGAATACCATTGGGATATTGATAGGATTACTTTTAATCTCTATATTGCTTTTGGTGGGATGGTCATTTTCATTTTAATTATTCTCCCCATCCATGAATATGGGATATCTTTCCATCTCTTTATGTCTTGTTATATATATTTTCAGTAATGTCTTATAATTCTCATTAAATTATCTCCTTTGTTAAATATTTCTTCAGTATTTAAATCTTTTTGATGTGTTTTTAAATAGTATTGTTTCCTTAATTGCTTTTTCTTCTTTCTTGTTATTTGCAGTAGAAATGCAGTATATTCCTCTGTATTAAGTTTGTAGCTTTACCTTACTGTATTTATGTTCAGTCTTTAAATTTTTCTGTATATATCATGTCATCTATTTTAGTGAAAATTTACTTCTTTTCTAACCTGAATTCCTTTGATTTATTGTTATTATTTAATTGTTCTGGCTAAGAACTTTAGTATTAAATTAGATAAAAGTGGTGAAAGTGGACAACCTTGTTTTGTTTCTGATCTTACAGGAAAAAATGCAAAACATTCAGTTTTTACCATTGAATATGATAATTGATTATAGATTTATAGTTTATGATATTGTTATAACTTGTTATGACTTTATTGAGATGATATATGTTTCTTCTGTACTTATTTTGCTAAAAGTTTATTATTATTTCTTAATTTTTTTAAATGTTCTGAAAAGCAAGAAAGCACCTCAGAAATGTTCTCTATATTAGAGTCCCTCAAAGAAAAGCGTGCTCCATTGTGCAGTTGGTTAGTGTGTGATACATATAAGGAATCCCTCAAAGAAGTATTTTTTTATTGCACAGAAAATTTAAGTGATGAAACAGTTGATCCTTTTGGTAGTCACTTCAGTGATTATAGTATCAATGTAAATTAAATTACTTGAACTAGAGTTAGAAAATTGGAAAGAAATGTTGAAAGTATGTAAAAACAAAATCTTGAAATATCAGAAAATTAAATTTTATGAGCATTCTCTTGAGTCCATTTAAAATATTACCAAGCGGTTTATTCCTTCAACACTGGAATTACAGTCATCATACTTAATTTAACCTGTTAACTTAATCAGTTTAATATTAGAGCCTACTTTATGAATGAATATACCATTTTAGTATTTGACAGAATCCTTTATTGTTTGAATGCTTGCTTGTTAGTGAATCAAAAAGGGGTAAACTTAAGGAAATAAACAGATTGATAGTTTCAAATTTCCATATCCTAAACTTTCATCTTTTAACATGTTAGTAGCAGACCCTCTTGAGACATTGTTGAGCAGTCTGGCCTTAGACATTTTCTTTATCTACTATTGGTATAGGTACTTAAAATTTCTTTCTTTTTACTTTTATTTTTTAAACTAATTCTGTTCTTGGTCTCTGAACACTTGCTTTTTTCTTTTTTACCAGCGCAAGTTGAGGCCTTCATCTATGATGGCATGACAGAGTGATGAGATGGGAAGGGAAAGTGGCTTTTACAGCTAGAGACATGACACATTATATTCATTATATCTGCTCATATTGTCTGTTCTTGGTCCTTTGGTAAAATACCTGGGGTATTTTCTGCTGAAACATAGGTGGAGCTATTCCCCACAATCCACCAGCAGTGAAATATTACAGTGAAAAGACAGTAGACATGTAAATCTAACTGATAGGAGAGGTGGCCTGGAAGCCAGCCTTGAGCTGGGATTAAGTTAGTAGTAAACCTAGAGAGATCATCTCCTTTTCTATGTCCACTACCCTTTCATTCTGTCATTTGTTCCTCTTAAACTCTTGCTCTTGTTTACAGCCACTTGAAGTAGGGTTTACATTGTGGCAGGAAGGAGAGGTAAGAACTGACATGAATTCTAATCATACTACAGGAGAGATGTCTTTTGACTGTTAAATTTTATTTTAGATTGTGTTGGGGATGGTTCAATTCATGTCTTCTACCCTCCCCCTTTCGTCTACTCCTTTTTACCTGTTCATTTCCTTAAACCTCACAACCTGCTATAACCAGTAGAATCTTGAATTCCATAGACTTGCTCTCTATCAAGCTTACATGGAAGGGTCCTGAATGTTTCATAGAAACTAGCAGATTCAATAAAATGTGCTTGATGGGTCAGACATAATGTGATTCTTGATAACCTTGATTAACAACCCCAAATAGTCCAAGTTCTAATACTGTCTTTCTGTTCCTACATGATTTTACTATAAAAGACAATAAAATTATTGTTTCTATTCAAATGCTTAAATATTATTATTCCAAATGTTATATGAAACACATATAATACAATTATTTTTCTTCCATTTGCTGAAATTTCTATCTGATTATGCATGTGTCCACTTTTTCACCTAAATCCTTGAACATACTAAACAGTTATTTTTAGTTACTGTTTGAGAATGTAAGCGTTTGAATCTGTTTCTTTTGATTAAACATTGTTTGATTAAACATTTTGAGCATTGGTTTTGGTAGGTGTTTTATATGTTCTATAGTGTTTCTAGCTTTCAGTTGAATTCAGGACATTGTAATAGAATAGAGACTGAAGTACATAGTTGCTACAATTGAAAATTGGTCCTTTTCTGAGAGCACTAGTGAGTGTGGTAAGGGTTAATTAATTTAATTTAGTAATTGAAGTGGGTTTGGGTTTTACAATTTACCTTCCGTTCAGTACAGACTTAAATCCTACTTGTACCAGGTCTCGGAGTGGTAGTAGGTTTTCTTTGTTTACTGCTCTAATCTTAGTCTTGTATAGCTGTGCCTTAGAAAGGATTTTTCTTCATGATCCTGCTCTTATCCTAGGGAAAGATTGCCTTTGTACTCCATATGATACTTATGGTGGGGAAGAGGGTGGTGAGGGCAATCCTCCTTGATTTTTTTGATTTAGCTAAAATTTTAAATAGTTCTGTATTTCTGAGGCTTGGGAGTGAAATTTTCTCAATGTTCGATTTCTCTTTCTGGTGACAGACAGACTTTGGTATATTTAGGTAGGGTCTTGGGAGTTGTGGGCAAGTTTTCTGCCCTTCCTCTTAATGTGAACATGGTTTATGTCATTTCAGGGCCCTGGGTTTACCTCCTACCTCTGTGCAAATGTGTTGGCTTCTACTTTGCTTTAACATAGTGGGCTTTTGTATAGGGATGGTGGGGACATGCAGGGGATGGGCTTGGGGAGTGGAGCTCTGTTCCTGTAAACATCAGTTGCTTTTGGCATATGCCCTTTTCTTCGAAGGGGGTAGATGTTTTTCATCTCCCAGTGTCAGATTTTACAGTACAAGAAAAACTTACAGGAAGTCAGTGGGGTTTGTTCTTTGTACCATTAGCAGAGGTTCTCAGAGGACCTCATTTGCCCTGCTGCTAATTTTTCTTCTAAGTACCCACAAGAAACATGGAGAGAAGCTTGTGAATGAGTGTGTGAACTCTTATACATTTCCGGCTTCCTAGGAGGGATTCTACATTCAATGTTAGCCCATAGTTCTATAAGAAAAAAATTTTCTTTTTTAATTTTTGTATTAGTGACTACTTTTTAATATGAATTAAATAATAAATATATTTAAATATGTGAACTTTGTCTTTCTAACAGGTTATGAAGTTCATGGGATGGAAAAAATACCAGAAGAAGGGCCAGCACTTATAATTTTTTATCATGGAGCTATTCCTATAGATTTTTACTACTTCATGGCTAAAATTTTTATCCACAAGGGCAGAACTTGCCGAGTAGTAGCTGATCACTTTGTTTTTAAAATTCCAGGTAAACATTAATCATTGATAGAATTATAAAATATCTTACAAATTATGTGATCATTTATATTTTTGAGCCCTCTATAATATCATATGGAAAAGGCATTTGTCTTTTTTAATGATAACATACTTGGAACTCCAATTTGGGAATACTTAATTATTCTGTTTAGGTAGTAAATCTAAATGTAAAATAGTATGGCAAAAATGTCATAATAAATGCTTGTTAATTTTTTTTTAAAGATTTATTTATACAAGAACTGGGATGTAGGCCACAGGTGGGGGGTGGGGGTGGGGCTTTGGGAGGATTCACCAGAGACAGAGTGGGTGCCAGAACAGGCAGATCTACTGAAATACACTATGAGGGGATCAGAGGGCAGACAGGAGAGGTCTGCACTATGTGGGTTCCCTGGCGAGGGGTGAAGCTTATGCTGCCATGGTTTTGGATAGCTTCCTAGTATTGTGTTTTAACTCCTTGTGCCTTCAGAGAGGTCCTTTTATTAACAGCATTTATATTTCCAATTTAAATCCTTAACTTTCAGTTTTTAAAAATGTAACTTTTCCCAAAGAATTTTTGTTACAGAAGGTGACTGACTTTGCACGATGATATTTTTTCATATGTTGTTTATATTTGGGGGTTAATTTTACTGTAATTAGAGTTTGATTACTATCCTTGTAGTGGCAGGATACTACACTACAAATAAGCAAAAAAATAAAAAAAATTAACTAGGGTTTATTGTCTTACATAATATAGCATTGCCTCAAAATCCAACCCTAAAGATTTAATTTTGTCCCTTATACTTGACTTGATTGGTGAACTTAAAACTCTTAAGATTGAGCCACTATAGTCTTTTCACTCTTTTCATGAAGGCTTTCTACCTTTTCAATAAGATATAGCAAATGATTTAAACACAATAGAGTTTTTAAAAAATGTTAGAAAAAATTGTAAAATAGTATCATTGAGATCAAATCTTATTTTCCTCTCACCAGTCTCCAGAAACAAGCCAGTGTTGCTCTGGAATAATTAAAGCAAAACCCACCCATTAACCAAACAAACAACAAACAGTGAATTAAATAATCCCAGTGTCTTTTATAGACATGATTAATGCTATGTGTATTTTTGTGTCATCAAAAAGTCATTTGGACTTTGTGTATAAACTAACTGGCTATAAAGGGTTTTTCTTTAGAAAGTAAATTCACTTTATATTAAATTTGGAAAACAACAGTTATCATTTTGATTTATTTTACTTCATTTTAATTTGCATATTTTCAAAACAAAATTTATTTTGTTCTTTTTTTTAAAAATATAGTTTAATGATAGCATTTAATTTTACCATGTTTTATGAGGAATAATTTTAATTGATATTAAAACACTTAAGTGTTTTTTTCCTTATTTAATGTTAGGCTTCTTCCTGTTTTAAAAAAGTCAATAACAGAATGTGAATAGTTTTAATTAGCATTTGGTTTTTAAGGTTTTTCCTTCTTTGTAATTTATAAAGTCTACCCTGTCGTTCATTTATTATGAGAATGCATTTAAGTTAAATCAGTGAGCTTTTAATGTATATAACATTTATGATCTTGCTTCAGACCCCTAGCTCTATGAGCAGTTTAATCTGCCCAGTTTTCATTACCTATCCTCATATTTCCCACTCTCAAGAAAAAAGACGTCTGAACATTAGCCCTTGCAGTTTTATGTTTAGGGCTGGGTAAAATATTTAATACAGATAAGATTGTTTCTTTTATCCATAGATCGTTGTTATTTGAAAACTATAATATCAAGATTTAGAACTAGCTGTTCCTAAATTAAGCACTCGTATTAAAACTCAATGATTTTGCTACTAGTGATTTTTAAAAAGCATCCTCTGACTTTTTAATTTCAGTCAATTTGACTTTGGCTTGCTAATTTTGGTAGGCCTAAGTATAGTTAGATGCACATTCTCTTATAGGATTAATGTAAGGTTAGATTTGTGATTACTGATGAGAGATGATTTCTGATTGCTTTAATAAATGTTGTAAACAGTCTTTGGCTATGAGGTGCGGTAGAAAGAGCTGTGCACTAGACATACCTGGACAGGACTCTCTGTACTGCCACTTGCTAGATATGTGACTTTGAGCAAGCTGCTTACTCTTTGAGTTAGCTTTCCTCATCTCTGAAATGGGATTGTATAAGTTTCAGTTAAGATTTTGAACATATAAAGTAGCCAAAGTAGTGGATGATCAATAAGATATACCTATTGCTTCACCAGCAGTATTAATCCTATATTAATTTTAAAAGTTCTTTTTAATTTATAAGAAGTAAAAATGTACTGGTTTAAGTATATATTGCAAATCATGTAGATTGTAAAAATTACTGCTCTTGAAGAATTGGACTAGAGGTACTTAAGATATATCTTCATGCTGATGTTTCCTACAGGGTTTAGTTTGTTACTTGATGTATTTTGTGCTCTACATGGACCAAGAGAAAAATGTGTTGAAATTCTGAGAAGTGGTCACTTGTTAGCTATTTCACCAGGTGGAGTTCGAGAAGCCCTACTTAGTGATGAAACCTACAACATCATATGGGGTAATCGTAAAGGCTTCGCTCAGGTTGCAATTGATGCTAAAGTGGTGAGTTGTGTAAACCTAATTATTAAAGTTAGGTTAATTTGAAAATAGATACTTAAATAGTAAGTCAAAGTAAATAAGAATTTAGATGCTTTTAATGCATTATTTTTAAAGTCCAATATATCTAACACTTTATAAAGTACAGAAATTTCCTTGGTCATGGGAAGTCATCTTAAAAAAAAAAAAATCAACCTTAAATAAGTTTGGTAAATAGTCAACAAAATTTTATTTTTACTTTTGAAAATCTTGCCTTTTTTGATTTGTAAAATTCTTTATATTTCTTTAGTTATGCTTTTTCCATAAGTATAATTAGTCCAATTCTATGTATTTTGATATTTTGATACAGTTGATTGGTGTGTTTCAATGATGGTTGTTGCTTGGTTCCATTAAAGTTCTTTTTTCTATGACCAGTTACAATAAGACTCAAATAATATATGACTTCTATAATTTTTTTATCAGCAAATGTGATCAGCTAACAGTATGAATAAAAAGGAGAAATAGATATTAGTGTTAATGTAGAACTTTTTTTTTTTTAACGTAGAACTTTTAAAAAGATTTTTTACAATGTATTTGTCAATAAAATTAAATGTTTCTCTGGGATTCACTGTAATTATACTTAGTAGATTGGAGAATGTGAATGCCATTTGTTCTTTTGCTTTGGGAAAGTATTTCCACTTTTGGTCTCTGTATTATACTTGATCCTATGAAACATTTATTATTTATGGAGTGTTTCTTCTTTGTTTTCTGTTTATTTTCATTTTAGATTGTTGGTCATAAAAAGAATCCATAGTGTCTTTGACAAGTGGTGTTCTTTTCCCACACCAATTAATTAGAGGCTGCTGCCAGTAATTTAACATTTCCATTTTTTGTATGCCCACTGCTGCCACTTAAAGAACCAGTTTTCACCCTTTAGCCTGCCTGTTCATCTTGCAGATATAGATTGTTAATTAAAAAAGGAAAAGATTATTGATGATTTATTACAACCCAAGATCAGTATTTGGAGAAAAATGGAAATTTTCTCTTTAGTTTTCTAGCTGCAGAGTTCCAATAAAATAAAATCCACTAAGTTTTACTCTCTCTTGTACATATGTATACATTATTCCTATACATTATTGCTCTAATAATGTACGTTGTTGCTATAATGCTTTAATAATTGATACTAGTGTAAGGGTCAGTATACTTGCCCAAGTGTTAATAGACAACATGACCATTTGAACATGGCTGTCCTCTAGTATGTTATAAATTTCGCAAAGACAAGGCCTGTAATTGTGCTGAGTCCCTAGAATAATGACTTGTTATTTACTAAGATACTTATATTTGTTGAATTGGGTAAATTTTTATAGTACATGTTAAGTGCTACTGGAAAAGAGCCGTTTGAATTTAATTTATGTTAATAATGTTAGTGACCTAGAATACTCTTATAGCAGACGTTATTTTATAAAATGTCTTTAGCACTGGTGTAGAAAACAAAACCTTAGACTCTGAATAATATAGAATATAAAAGGATATTTGTACATTGTAAATTAAGGATAATCAGTTTAATGTACATTAAAACAATGATAAAAGCCTTATCAAAGTAAGTTAGTTTTTAGAATTATATTTTGAAAGAATTATTTCTCCTAAATTTTAAGATAAAAGTGACAAAAGTATATTTGAAATCTCAAATTGATCATAAGATTGTAATCCCTTATCTTTAAGTTTACAGTTTTAATGAACATTGTCTGGAAGATTACCTAGGAGAGAAATTATATAAAGAAAGTAACTTTTTTTCTCTTTTCATGAAAGAATTCTTAAATAATCAATTTAGATGATTTAGATAATTAAGATTTTTCTGCTCAGAACTTGAAAGAACAGCCTTTTACAAGTTTAAAAACAAGCAAAAAGTTTTAACATTGCTGATTTATAACACAGAATAAATTTAATGAATATTGTACAACTCCAGTCTTTTGTAGTGTTTTTAAAGACTTTTGTTGGTGCTCCTGTATAGCTAAGTAGGTGACATATGTAATTATTCCAATGTTACAGATGAGGAAACTCAGGCACAGAGAGATGAAGGGATGGAGGGACCAGGTGATAAAGCCAGGCAGAAGCAGAGCAGAGCATACAGTTCAGAGCTGCAGGCGGCCGGGGCGTTTGCCATCCCTGACTGCATCTCACAGTGAGTCCGCTGACCTAGAGATTAGAGGGCCTTCCAGAGACATGAGAGAAATTCCAATCTCTTACGGATACAGTTGTAAATAGCACAATCCCTGTGTAGGCCTTACAGTATTACCATGAACCTTGAGGAAAAATTTTATACTGTTGCAGAACTAACGTTTAGATTTTGATGTGGTAACAGGAAAAAAAGACTAGGCTATCAATGCAAGTTTGTGAAATACTGATAGAAAATCTTTAAGATTCATCTGAAAGGTATGGATACTATAAATTTATATAAGATAAATCACTCATTTTGTGAATTCTTGAGAATTATAATTTTGATAAGAATTTTTACATAACTTCATAACTAATAAGTTGGGGGGGGAATAGCCCACTTACTCTACCAGAAGTAAAAAAAGAAAATTATTTCATTAAAACTGTTTATATATAACATCTTAATCTTAAAAAAAACTTAGAATAATTGTCATTTTATCTGTGAAGAAACTGAACTTTAAACATGGTAAGTATATTGTCCAATATTCTCATTCTTTTTTAGTGGTAAAGACTCCAAAACCATGTTAAAGTAACTTATTTCCTTAAGAGCAGTTTTAACAAAATAAACTCTGTCTCTTGCACATATCTATGCACACACATACAGAGAGACTCGTGTACATGTAAACAACTTAATGCTAGCTTGTATATGAAGTATGTACAAGTAAAGGAATATATAATTATTCTATAGTATCATGTTATCACAAGGCCATGCTTGTAGCTTTAAGACTGGAAGCTTGAATGCAAACTTAGAAACCATATGCCCATAGCGTAGCCTGGAAAATGGAACCTACTAGGGTAAGCTTTCTCCTTTCCTATGTTCTAGATTCTAGTTTTTAAAGAATGATGTGTAATCTTAAAAGTCTTCATGAAGTTTATGAAATACATACTTCAAAACAGGGTTCAAGTCTCATTCCCATCAGTAGATATTTGTGGCATAAATAGAGAGGCAAAATGGAATGTGTGGGGGTATGTGCGCTGAAAGGTAGAAACCTTCTGCTCCTGGATCATAAACTCATTTTTTTTTACAATAGAGTCAATGTATTTTGTCTTATATGTCAACTTTGTTAAATTCCTCATCTGACTGCTTACTTACTTGAAATCTCTTTCCTAATTGATTTTAAGATTGCTGCTGCCTATTTCCTTTGTATTCAGAGAATACAGATTAGTTCATTAAATGCATTATTTCTCTGTTCTGTTTATTTACTCCTTCTTTAATTCATCTGTTACACTCTCTTTTGCCACTCAGTGTATTCCAGGCACTGTTTTAGGTTCCAGAGGGTAGAGCAGTGAACAAAGTGTTCCTGCTATTGAATTTCTTCCTTTTGATACAGGAGAGGTAAATAAATAATTGATCACATGTATGTGTATGTAATAGTAAATAAGGTAGTAAGTTTTATGAAGAAAGCTATTCCTATAGTTTCTTCATATATTTTACTGTTTTTCAAAGCTGAATAGAAATGGCTTTTTAAATGTCAGCTTATTTAAATATCCAAACCCTGTTCATTAAGGCAGGTAATTCTGTATTGGGGAATTCTCATGATAGACTCTAAGTGATACCTTCCTATGGGTTTTTTATAATATAATATTGTATGAAAACAACATTTAATTCACTATATTTTGTTTACACTTTAAAGTATTTTATTGTTTTTCTTTTTTAATCTACTTAAGTTTCACAGTGGCATAATCTCCTTATTTGCTGCAATCTGTTTTTAAATGATATTTAACTAGGGTTTCTATTTTTAAGAAGTGTACTTTATCATTGATATTCATAGAAAAATAAAAATAAATACCAGATAAAATTAATGACACACATAATTATATATTATATACTTTCACTTTTTGCAGTGTGTCTTGTTTCATTGATGTTGAACATTATTAGATATAGCAAACTCATAAAAAATGGTGTTTCTTTAAAGTCCATCTTACCAAACCTAAATTCCATCTTCCCAAACCTGTCTTTTACATGTGTGTAAATTTCCTTGTAGAGCGATCAACTGTCTTATAACCTTTTCTTCTGAAACCCTATTCCATAGCCCACTGAAACCTATTTAATTTTCCTATTTAATGAAATTAATGATTACTGTAAATTTATTTTGTGCTTAAGGATTTATGTGGCATGATATGAAAGATGGTAAATAAAATATGTATATAAACCACTAGAGGGTAGTGTTTCCAGTTATATTTTTACACGTGATCACAAATTTAATGTGATAAATCACACTTGTACTTTATTTTAAAGATAAGTTGTTTTTATAAACAGACCCTCGAAGTTTATGTTAATGACTCATGAAGCTATTGAATGGACTAATTTATTTACTTTTTAATTCAAATTCTCTCTTTAGCCCATTATTCCTATGTTTACACAAAACATTCGAGAAGGCTTTAGATCACTTGGAGGAACAAGTAAGTTCTGATTCATATGGCTTTTCTAGTTATAATGTAATATTTTAAATATTTGGAATTTGAGACCCTGTAAGGAGTCCTTTTGAGTATTACTTTAGATAGCAGATTTTGCATATTGATGTTTAAAGTCTGAATGATAACTTGTTCTAAGTAATGGCAGTTCTTAGTTGTTAGTTACTTAGTTGTTCTAAGTAATGGCAGTTCTTAGTTGAACTCTTTTTTAAGAGTTTCATATGTGTACCGAATAGACTTTTTTCTGTAATAGACTTTATAAAATGCAGTGTGAATTGTCAAATTTACTGTGTTAAACTGTGTTGTTGAAGGTTAGAACAAATTTATGCATTCTTACACGGGGAGAAATTACAGCGTAAAAAATGGTAACAGAGTGGATAAAGAATTGAGATTAACAGCCAATGGATATTATACTTGCTTTGATTTGTTACTTTTTTACTTTTTAGTTTTAGTATTTTGAATCTTGCTATATTACACTGAACAGTACTTTTTGTCTACCTTTAATTTATTGTTAGACAAAATAAGCTTTGAGTGTTGTTATAGAAGTGATAACATTTAGACATGCTTTTCTTCTTGCCATGTCTCTGTTGTTTTCTTTTTCTGTGGAATTTTCATTACTTGTTTTTGTACCCTATGGTTTATGTATTACTGATTGTTTTATATCCCTAGCATTATATCATTAATATTCTCACCTATAATGTAAATCCCCAACTGAAGCGCTTTAAACTTCTACTCTTTTTGTCTAATGTTGGTGTATTGCTAATATTCCACTATGATAAGTCATGCTTTTTTCCTTTTTTTTTTTTCAAATTTAAAGTGGAAAGGTAGATTGATATGACATTTAACTTCTGGTTTAGAATTATATTGTATAATGTTTTCTGAGATCATCCTTTAGAATTTAACTCACATTTAGAGTAATTTGAAATTATTCCAAATCTTGCTTTAAAATCCCCTTTTGACTTTTCTGACTTTAGTGTCAAAAATTAGTACCCATTTTTTTTTTTTTGAGTATCACTTTGGGCTTTGTGTTATATTCTGTGTTTCATTATAGAAAGTGTTTTAAAGTTTAAGTGTAGTTTATAGCGTGTACTGATTGTCTTGTTTGCATTCCATTTTTTTTTAAAACTTAGGCTTATTTTTTTAAACCTAGTTCTTTGAATTCCTTTTTTTAAAAAACTTATTCGTAGTTTATCTTTTTATTGTATACTTACTGCCAGTTTTTAATCCTGACAGATTTTCTCCTTGGTCATCAGCATTAAAAATTTTTTGCTTTTTGTTTTCCCTAATTTATAATAATGTTCATAGTCTTTACCTAATTTATTGGTACATTGTAGTTTCATTTTTATGTTAGCTTATTTTATGCTTCCGCCTTTTTTCTTTCAGTCAATCACATATTTGTGAATTTTTAGGTTTTTTAGTGTAGTTTTGGTTGTAGTCTTTACATTTTGCTTTGCAACATGGAAATTAATATGTCACATGTATTTCTCATATTTATAAAGCACATTTTTAAAGACTTTTTTAAGCATTTCTAAATTTATGAACTAATTGAGCAGAAAGCATGTAGGTACCTCCTTACCATATCCAGTTTCTCCTATTATTAACATCTTGCAATAGTTTTGTATATTGTTTACCATTGATAAAAAGCTCATCTTTAAAAAATAAAATTTTGTTATTTGCCAAGAGGTGATAACCTTTGACATCTTCTTTGTCTTACATAATTAGTTCAAAGTTTACAGTTATGCATTAAGAATATTTATTAACCAGTTAAAATGATTTTGTTTATTTTAATACAGGGTTATTTAGGTGGCTTTATGAAAAATTCCGCTATCCATTTGCTCCAATGTATGGAGGTTTTCCAGTAAAATTACGTACCTATTTAGGTGATCCTATTCCGTATGATCCAAAGATAACAGCAGAAGAATTAGCTGAAAAGGTAATTATTCTTTCTTCCTTTTCTTAGGACAGATTTTTACCTGTAGTTATTAAAATTTTATTCATTCATTTATTCTGCAAGCATGTTCTGAATTAGTAGTGAGCTGTCTCCGGGACATTTGGTAATATCTGGAGATGGGCTGGTATCTGGTGGTGCTGCTGGCATCCAGTGGGTTAAGGGTAGGGATGCTGGAAAATAGTCTGTATTGTACAGGGCGAGTCCCTGAACACCTCAACAAAGAACTATTCATTCTAAAGTATCAGTAGTATTGAGAAACCCCTTCTTAGGCACTGATGATTAAAGAACTTAGTTAAGTGATATTCAGGAGAAGAAAACTTTTACCTCCAAGAAAAAAAGGAAGTTGTTTTTGCCTGATAGAAATATCTTGGGACAAAAATGGAATGGTCAGTTATGGAGTTAGACTGTTTCTAGCTGAACTTTGTGTTTGCTGTGTATCTAGGGTACTCCTCATCTCACTCTTCTATTCTGTAAAGCAGGAGAGCATTTTCTTGAAGGTTACATGAGGTTGCTCTTTTTGTTGTTTAGAACAGTGTATGGCAGATGGAAATTCTTCATGGAGGATGGTGGCTGCTTAATCTTAGAGACTTATAGTCCACATCAGTGTTATAAGGTGGTAAGTGTTACCACACTAGTGTGCTTACAAGAGTTTCTCAACCTGGGCACACTCACATTTTTTTATAGGGGCTGACCTTTGCATTTTAGGGTGCTTACCAGCATCTGTGGCTTCTGTTCACCTAGATACCAACCATAGTCCCATCCCCACCCCTAATCCATCATAATAGTGACAGCAGTGCCCCCTGGTTGAGAACTGCTAACTTGAGGTATGATGGAAGCACAAAAGAAAGGCATATAAATTATATCTAGGGGTCCTCCCTGGTGGTGCAGCGGGTTAAAGCACTGCACTAAGAAGCTAAAGCCACTTCCTCATGAGTTCGATCCCGCCTGTCCCGGAGGAGATCCACATGGCATGGCAGACCTCTCCTGACCCGCCCACTGCTCTCCTCAGCAGTGTACTTCGTCGATCTGCCTGTTCTGCTCCCCACTCTGTCCCTGGTGAATCCTCTCACCCTCCGCATCTCTGGCCTATACCCCAGTTCTGTATGAATAAATAAATAAATCTTTAAAAAAATTAAAAAAATGTTATATCTAGGTGTTTGCTGGAGGTAAGTGATACTTGAGTTTTGAAAAACAAGAAGGGATTAGCTGAACAAAGAATAATGAGGTAGAGAAAATATATAATGAAATGGTGACATGAAATAGTGTAAAATCTTCAAGGAGTAGATAATTTAGTATAGATGAGGCTAGAAATGTAGAAAGGGTTTAAACTTTGATGGCCTGTAATTGATTTTGTTTCTTGAAAGCCAGAGGGTTGCTTTGGAAGCAGGTGAGTGTCTTCACTTATTCACTAGAATAAGTGAAAGTGAATTTGAAAGCAGTAGAAGCTTGAAAAGAGGTGGCTTTGTGAAGAAAAATGCTAGGAAAAGTTTCCTAGAATGTGATCATTTTGTAGTGGGTCTTCAAAAATGGGCATGGCTTGGGCATGTGGATTTCAGGCGTGAGGGAAGAGTATGGATAATGAAAAAGTGACAGGAAAGTAGTTTGCATATAACAACAGTGTTGAACAGTCTAAAATGGTTAGCCTAGTAAGGTTGGGAAGTACTGCCTAATAAGTTCTCCTGTAAGAATTCTGCAAAGCCCAGGAATTCAATAAAATTTCTAGAAACACTTTGCCAACAAGATCCATATAACTTTATCTCAAAGACCATTTACTAGTCTCATCTGACCAAAATTCTCCCTGTTTTTCTGTGAGTAGTACTTACAACTGTGTAGTAAACATGTGTCGTGTCGTTGGCTTAGTTTGTGGAGTTTGATTGAGATGAGACTGAGAATTAAATAGGAGCTACATTTTTAAGGCCTTAAAAATCAAATTAAGGAATTTGCCAACCAATTGCTTTTCAGTTAGTACAGACTTTGGAAGTGGTTCATGTTAGGTTATGGGAGGAAAAACAAAGGAATAATAGGGAGTTGGTGTCCAGTGGGTTGAGAAATTCAGTTTCGAAAAAATGAAAAAGTTAAGAGATCTATTACACAGCAATGTACATTGTTTAATACCACCAAAATAAAACCTTAAAAATGGTATGTTGATCATTCCTATTTTTTAAAAACCTCAATCTGCTGACTTCTTTCTTTGGTTACTTGGTTTCTTACCTCTCACCCAGCCCTTTTCATTCATCCTTGATTCTTCCTTGGCCTTTTTCATCTTTCAAAATTAAATCAACCCACTGAAAACCCAACTCTCTATTTCTTTC